TTGCTTGGATTAGTCTTGTGGATAAGATAGAGGAATATGAGATGAATGCTAACATGGTTTTATTGGTACTTGAATGATAATGAATCAGCTGGCTGATCCTTAAAGACAATCTTTAGGTAATCTAGTAATCTGTCTACAGCTCTCATGCTGCTTAACATTGTTAGTTCATCATTTAGATGTTGACATAGAAGGCCTTGAAGCTGTGATGATAGGAATCCAAAGAAAAGCTAACTGCATTGGTTCACATTAGGATCCATAAAGACCTTGACAGACTGGAAAGACAGATAAGTTGCCCTAAAAAGAGAAATAAAGAGATTGGAAGAATCTGCGTAGTCCAAAATTGCTAACGGTATAGAATGAAGCACTTCAAGAGGGAGCCAAAGAGCTTGAGGGAAGAGAATAAGCTTGTGGATTTAACTGGGAGGAGGTCATTGAGGAAGAGTGGTGAGCATTGTATGCTGAACACAGAAACTTGCTGCCTTGGGAGAGAGGTGTGGGGAGGAAATGAGAAGATAGGAGGCAAGGACTGCAGGTCTAAGCTCTCATGTGAGAAGTTAAAAAATGAAGAGAACAACTCACAATAAAAAATTATTTTTAAAAAATTGTAGAGAACGAGATAGGAGAGGGCAGTGGAGAGTAGTGATGATTCTTGACGACGAGGAGAGAAGAAGAGAGCTACCATCCTTCCCCCATAGATTACTGTGGCCATTGGGTTTCTGCAGAGTGCTACTAAATGTCTATTAAATAGATAAGGGAGAGGCTATTGAAGCTGCTAGTTAAAGGTATTCTGAATTGAATAGGTATAAATTCCAAAGTTTATGGTTATTTTTAAAAGTTGTAAAAGAACAGAATATTCTAGAGGTTATCAAGGAGTCAGGTTTGGAATAGGAAGTGAAGGAATAAGGTCTACAGTGTGAGGGAGAGTTTGGAATTGGGCTCATATTAGCATGTATAAGTGTGATGTGTGTCATATATGTCACCTGTGCATGAGGTGGTGACATGTCTGGGCATTTGGGTGGGGGAGTTGACCTATGTAGCATGGACACATGTATAAAAGGGATATTTCTGTATGTGTGTCCCTGCTTATGTCCCTGTCTCTGCTATTGCTCCTGCTTCATGAAGGCTTTCTTCTAGGCTCTGTGCCTCAGGTATTGGCATGCAAGGATAACCTTCCAGCATGGTGCAAAGGAGCTCCTTGTTGGGGGTTTGTTCAAACAGCAAGGCAGTCTGGCACTGGCCCATAGATGAGGCAGGCATCAGGAAACATGCCACGCCTTTTGATTCTTGTGCAGAAAGTGAATGCCCATGGATAGTCACTGCTGGGTGCTTCCCACCACTCGCCCTCTGCATGCTTCTTCCCTTTTCCATGCTGTTTTCTCAAGGAGCTCTGTGTCTGAGAGCTGACTGACCCTGCGTGCTTTTCTCTCCTCTCTCTTCCTTCCTGCAGTCGGTTCTGAATGTGATCAGTGAGCTGCAGGAGCAGATGTGTAGGCTGCAGCTGGACATCCACAGGCAGATGCAAGAGCGCCAGTTACTCAGTAGGGACCACCCCGAGGAGGTAGCGGCCGGTGATGGTGTGGCCGAGCCCCAGCCCTGCAGCCAGGATTGTGCCCGTTGGGAGGGGTCACCTGTAGGAACCACACTTAAGTATATCAGAGCATGCATGTGTGGGGCATTTCATTGGTGGAGGGGCTGGGGGGCTTAGCATGGTTCTGTTTTTGCCTCTGGGAATAGCTTGGAACTCACACCTGTCAAGAAGTGAGTGAGCTTTGTGGCCATCACTGAGCAGGTGAGGCAGATCCTCAGACAGGTGGTGACACTAATCTCCTTTAGGGCTGGGAAAGAAGTGTGTCAGACGCTCTGAATGATAGGAATCTGTACCAAAGGAAGCCTTGTGATTCTCTTCCCCAGATATATGATTCAGATGCCAGTTTCTTCCTCTGGGCTCGGAGAGTAAACAAAACTTCATCTCATCTTCATCTTTCCTTGGGGGGAAAAATAACATCACAAAAGAATGAAAGAGTCCTTTCAAGTTTATTTTTGAAAGAGATTTACTCCCAGTGAGAAACTAGAACACAATTTTCCATTTGCTATCAACTATTAAGTCATCATCTGAATTTCCAGGAAAACTTCCCCCACATAATCCCATTAGACTGGTGTTCATGACTTCTAGCCCATGTGGGGTGTATCTGACTGGGATTCTGGACTTGGCCCTCACACTAGTGTGACCTGGTTCTTGTTCTCTGGCATTATTGATGCCTTGTGTGGCAACAGAACTAGGATGAGCCTACTCCTCCAAGGCCTACTGTCGAAAGGGACTCGGGAGCTCAAAGCCAGTTAAATAATGACTTGAGTTTCATGTTTTTATTCAACATAAAATGCACACCTATTGTGAACCAGGCACCTCTGGATAATCAGATTAGCAAAACGAACTAACCAAACTCCTTGTGGAGTTACAGTATATGAGAGCTAGGCGTTAACAAGCATAGAAGTAAACATTTAATTGCAAAGCAGGCAGGAGACAAACAAGGTGTCACAAGAGAGTACAGCAGGGGCACTTGAGGCAATGTGGGAGTCATGATCGCATTGCTGAAGGATGGGTGTGGAAGTCATGATCGTATTGCTCAGGGAGGCCTGAAGGATGGGTAGGAGAATGACGTATGTAAAGGACCAAGTTGGAAAGAAGAACTAAAAGTGTCCATTGTGGTCTGGGAGAAAGAGTGATGCAAGAGGTAGGCAGGTATTGCTTAAGGGACGTGGAATTTCTGTTAAAGATGATAAAAATATTTTAGAAATGGATAGTGATGATGGTTCCACCACGGTGTTGTTTTTGGGTACCGCTGAGTTGATTTCAATGCATCGTGACCCCATGTGACAGAATAGAACTGCCCCATAGGGTTTTCTGGGCTGTACTCTTTACAGGAGCAGATCACAGGTCTTTTCTACTGTGGAGCCTCTGGGGGGTTCAAACCACCAAGCTTCTGATTAGCAGCTCAGCACTTAACCATTGTGCTACTAGGGCTCCTTTCCATCACATATAATTAATGTCACTGGATTGTACATGTAAAAAATGTTGAAATGTAGATTTTTTTTTTTACAAGTATTTTTACCACCACCACCACCACCACCCCCCACACATATATATACATGCAAAGGGCTGACAGTGATGACCTGGGTCAGGCTTAGCAGTTTTTATCATGGATTATAGTTCATGAGCTTTATGAAACAGAGGAGTGACATGCTCTGATTTGTGTTGTAATTCTATTGCTCTTCTGGGTGCTGTGGGGTGAATGGTTAGAAGAGGGGCAAGAAGACAGAGGAGCAACCAATGAAGAGACTGTCCAAGCCACCAAAAGTGGTTGCTAGTCCAGAGTGGTGATGGTAGAGTTGGAGAATTAGTTTCTTAGAAGTAGAATCAACAAGGCTTAGGATATGTACGTAGGGAAAGATGGAGAAGGAGATACTGAGAATGGATCCCAGGTTTCTGGGACAAGCAATTAGATAAATGAGTATGGTATTTAGTGAGACAGGAATGACTAGCGAGGAAAATAAGAGTTCCATTTTGGACATGGCAATCTGAGATGCCTTTGCAACATCCACATGTAGATGTTAAGTGGAAAGTGTGTGGTATGAGTTTGGAGTTCAGAAAGCATGTGGAAATAATTGTTTTTATGCTGATTTTTAAAATAGGAACTAGTCAGCAGGATTAATTGTTAAGGGAACCTTGGTTTCTTCTTTATTGAAGGAGAATTTAAAAACAAGGGCTCTGGAATCAGATAGCATGGGCTTGAATCCCAGTTCCACCACTTATTAGCTACACGATATTTAAATATCACTGCCCTACTAAGCAATCTTCATTGTCTCCTTATTTTCTAAAGATGGAATCAGAACTCCTTATTATCTTCCCACTTTATCTCCCACTATTTGCCTACACCTCTGGTAGCAGAGTGCCTAAGGCACTTGACTGCTAACCAGAAGGCTGGCATTCAAACCCACCAGCCTCTCCTCGGAAGAAAAGTTGGGCAATCTACTTCCGAAGTGATACTGCCTCAGCAACCCAAGGAGGGGTCACTATGAGTCGGGTCTGACTCGACAGCACATAACAACAACAACATCCTCTGCTCCAAGGAGCTCTGGTGGCGTAGTGCCTAAGGCATTTGACTGCTAACCAGAAGATCCATGGTTCAAACCCATCAGCCACTCCACAGAAGGAAAACTGGGCAATCTTCTGCAAAGATTTACTGCCTCAGAAACCCAAAGGAGGTTGCTATGAGTCAGAATTGACTCAATGGCAGTGAGTTTGGTTTGGTTTTGGTATCCTCTGTTCCAGCCCATCAAATTATCTACTTTCTGCCTCCTCTGTCTGGATGCCCTCTCCTTCACTTCTTTCTTCAAACCAATTTCCTCTTCTCAGCTGAATGCCATTACTGATCTCTATACTTGGCACTTCATGCTTCTTCCCTTAATGTTTAGTTTCTCCCTCATTTAATTATCACTTCTGTGAAGCCTTCCAGGATCATGAGACCCCTTCTCTGCATTCCCCCATCCACAGCACAGAGAGATGATGTTTTCAGCCTGCTTTTTGCTACTTTGTCTGCATCACATGGGTAGAAGCTGTCTCATTTCAGCATCTTTGTTCTACTTGTTCTCAAGCCCTACTTGCCTCGCCCTGTACACACATGTTCTTGATGCATACACACACTGCAGTGGACCTGAGTGTCAGAGAAAGGGACAGGCAAGAAGAGTTCTAAAAAGAAGAGGATGTCTTTCTCTTTCTGATATGTGGAACTTCCTGATCTAAGAGATTCCTTTATTTTTAAATGGCCACACAGGTCTTCTGAAACAAGGACCATGTTCACAGATTAAAACCACAGTGTGGAACTTGATGCTGTTGCTCTGCCCCTGGTATCCGCCATGCATGAGCTTACCCAGGTTTGTAACCCAGAGCAACTCTTGCTTTTTGCCCAACAGAACTTTGTCTTTCTCTTCTATCCCTCTAGGAATTACTGCAAGAACTCAGGCATCTCAAAATCAAAGTTGAAGAGTTAGAAAATGAACGGAATCAATATGAGTGGAAGTTGAAGGCCACTAAGGTAAGAGGCAGTTCTGATGTTTATGGAGAGGGCATTGAGGCCTTGTAGGGAGGGCTTGTGTTCAAATTTGAATTTTTCCATAGCTTAAGCATTGGGTACATTCTTTACAATGCATGCATATTTTCATTATTTCTGTTCTGGTTGTTCCATTTCTATTAATCTAGTTTCCCTCTCCCCTTACATTCTCATCTTAGTTTTAAATGCAAATGCATCGTACTATGTGCACTAGCAATGGTACTGAGCATAACAGGAACTGGAGCAGACAGATTTGGATCCAGGAAGTTTCTTTTGAGGGAAGCCTGAGAGATTTTGAGCTCCTGACAGGTAGCAGCCTAGTCTCCTTCCTCTCACAGCACCCCATAGTGCCTAGTTGAAGTTGAGTGTATGAGCAAGTGAACAGTGAGTGAGTGACAAGTCCTAAGTCAGTGAGCACCAATGTAATATAGCATGCATCCTTTTAAAGTTAGCAGTCTCTCTAATAGTCATTAAAAGAATAAAAATAGCCATGTCTTATTTTCAGCAATGTATTCCTAAATACTTTGAATATTTTTTCAATTAAACCATGTTTTTATTAAAAACTGGGAATCTTGCTATCTAAAGGGCACTAAGGATAAATTCTTTTGTGAAATAAATTCCTTCCTCCCCTTTTTATTTCTATTCTCTTTTTCTCTAATAATTGAAGTTTATTTTTTGCCCTACACATATATTTAAAAGTAATGAATTGTTATTGAACCTTTAGGAAATTTTCCATTTAAATACAGACTTTGGCTTCTCTTAGGGGAAAAAAAAGAAAGCTCTAACAATCTTGGAAGAGCATTCTTGCCTTCTGAAGCCTGGCAGATACCATCTCCTTTTAAAATACAATATTTTATTGTGTTTTTAGTGAAGGCTTACACAACACTTTAAGTTGCAATTCAACAATTTCTATACAAGTTATTCAGTGATGTTGGGTACATTCTTCATGATGCATGCATATTTTCATTATTTCTGTTCTGGTTGTTCTGTTTCCATTAATCTAGTTTCCCTGTCCCTTTACATTCTCATCTGAGTTTTAAAGTAATTGTTGGCCATTTGGTCTCATATGGGTGATTTTTTAAAGGACCACAGTACTTGTGGATGATAATCATTTTTTGAGCCAATTTGTTATTTAGCTGTAAGATGACTATTTTGATTACCTAGTGCCACTCTTAACAGAAGATACCACAAATGGGATGGCTTTAATAAGGAGAAGTTTATTCTCTTATAGTCTTGGAGACTAGAAGTCCAAGTTCAAAGTGCCAGGCTCTAGGAGCTGGGTGAAAGCCCCTCAACCTTGTACTTCAGCTCTGCCTCCTGCTCCTGGCCCACTGAAGCTGGAGGCTTTTCTTCACTCACGCAGCTGCTGGCTTGCTGAGAAACCCTAGGTTGGCAAGTAAAACGGCACAGTCCCAATGTTACCAAACAACACAGCAGGCCACTAATTCAAGTCCAGAAGAAGTCCCAAGATAGGCAGGGCATGGCAGGCTGTTGAACAATGACTTGGCTACATGCAGGATTCAAGTGTGCCAAAAAGCTAGAGAGACCTTCCTCAAAGCTGCTGCTTATATACTGGAAGCAGACCATATCACTAAAGCAGCTACTCAGCTGCTCCAGTAGATTCCACCATGGAACTGACTGCCAATCTCACCATGGGGAATAACTACATCCAGCTGCCCAGCCACTCAACCAGGCCCAGCCAAGCTGACGATAACCTTAACCACCATAGTGACCTTAGGGGTTAATTTTGGTTCAAGGCTTAAAGAATATCTCAAGCCAATAGTCTTGGGGAGTCCTCCAGTCTCAACCAGTCCCGTAGGTCTGTGGAGTTTTTTTGTCTTGTTTTTTTTAAAGGAGGTTTGAGGTTATGTTCCTCATTTTCCTCTCATTTTATCAGAGACCATCTGTTGTGGCCCTGATTACATCAATCCATAGTGGTAGCCAGTCACCATCTAGTTCTTCTGATCTCAGGGTAGATGAGCCTGAGGTTCATGTACAACATTTGTCCGGTAGACTAGTTTCTTCTTTGAGTCTTTTGTTTCCTTCTTTCTCTTTTCCTCTGAATAAGTAGAGACTAATAGTTGTATCTTAGATAGCTGTTTGTAACCTTTTAAGACCCCAGACACTACTCACCAAACTAGGATGCAGAACATAACATGTTGTTGTTGTTGTTACGTGCCGTCAAGTCAGCCCCGACTCATAGCGACCCCTCCTTGGGTTTCCGAGGCAGTATCACTACGGAAGTAGGATTGCCCAACCTTCCTTCCGAGGAGTGGCTGGTGGGTTTGAACCGCCAGCCATCTGGTTAGCAGGCAAGTGTCTTAGCCACTATGCTACCAGAGCTCCCATTTGAGTGAGATGTCTCATGAGACTATGATACTAATCCTTCAAGCCCAGAAATCCAATTTTTTTTCACCCCCAAAGAGCTGGTTAATTATCTTAACATAATTTAATTGAATCATCTTTTCCTTCCCTACCAGTAAGAAATATGTGGTATTATATAATAATTTAAGTACTTTGCAAACATTAACTCATCTAGTCCTCATAACCATCCAAGAGGTAAGTCTATTATATTCCCATTTTGATGTTGTTGTTGTTAGATGCTGTCCCATTCCACCTTATAGTGACCCTATATACAATAGAGCAAAACGCTGCCCAGTCCTGCACCAACCTCACATCATTGCATGATTAAGCCCATCATCTCAGCCACTGTGTCAGCCCATCTCGTTGAAGGTCTTCCCCTTTTTCATTGACCCTCTACTTTACCAAGCATGATATCCTTCTCCAGGGGACTGGTTCCTTCTGATGTGATCAAAGTAGGTAAGACGAAGTCTGTCCATTCGTGTGTCTAAGGAACATTCTGGCTGTACTTCTCCAACACAGATTTGTTCATTCTTCTAGTGTCCATGGTACATTCATTATTCTTTGCCAACATATTCCCATTTTACAAATGAAGAAACTGAGGCACAGAGAGGTTAAAGAAATTTTCTAAGATCTTACAGTTAGTTAATAACGTTTCTAGGCTATCCAGATCTATTTATCTACTGATCTATTTGTATCCGACGTAGCCTTGTGTATACTTGCCTCGTAGTCATCTATTCTAGGAGAAGCCTCTCTCAGGTAGCTCAGAACTTCCCTCACGATGCTGCACTCACAAGTACTGTCTCAGTAAAACTCTTTGAAGTTGTACATACCACCCTCTGTTATAAAACCAAGTAATTCTTTTTAAAATTACATGAGCACTTTGCTCTGGCATATAGACTTTTGAAATACATAGCATTTGAAATGCTAAGGGTTGTTTAATAATTACCAAGCGTTGAGCACCTCCTGTATGCTAGAATGTACCAAGCCCTTTGCTCACATTTACTTATTTAATCTATAAAGTAACCCAATGACCTCTATCTTATATAACTATCCTCATTTCCAGATAAAGAAACAGGTTCAGAATGGCTCAGAGGTTCAGATATGGATTTCGGTTGTTCTAAAACTCATGCTCTTTTTCTTATATCATCCTGATTCCTTGAAGTAAAAACCCACATTGGTTTTTGAAATTCTTCAGTTCTGCTTAAGGCTTCTAAGGCTCTAAAGGTGATTCATAGTCTAGTTAGCAACACTAAGGTGTGGTGCCTGGGTTTAATGAGGCCCAGCATTTGGAGGAAGCCGGAACACCCATCTCTGCATGTCAGCTCTCGGCTCACTCTTTATCCAGTAGTACTAATTAGATTTCTACCATACTTCCTGCATGAGCTGGAAAGATGAAAGATGTACGTATGTTGTTATGGTGGTGTATATACATGCTATTGTATGAATACTTTGGGAGAAGAAAGACCACAACCAGAAAAATAATGTCCACTTCTATTCAGCCCTCCCATTGCACACAATCCTAGCTTCTTAGGTCTTAGAGGTAGGTGCATGGACCTCAGAGGGCAGATTAAGGAAAGAGCCTGGTCAGGTAGGAGGAATGTAGGGGCAAGAGCAGGCTGACTTTCAGGGCTGCAGGTAGGGCTGAAGAAGCCAGGAAGAGTGAGTGCAGTCAGCAGAGCTCCACCCTGTAGGGAGAGCTGTGAAGTTTCTGGTATCTTTGCTAACTTCCTAACATGTCTTAGGGTCCAGTGAGCTCTCGGCTCTACTTGAGGCCTGTCATCACAGTTCAGTCATCCCTCTGACCTTGTGGGGATTCTCTCTTGTTCTTTCAGGCTGAGGTAGCCCAGCTACAGGAGCAGGTTGCCCTGAAGGAAGCAGAAATTGAGCGCCTGCACAGCCAGCTCTCGCGAACCACAGCCCACAGAGACCATACAGAGAGAGGTATCTGCCATGTATACAAAATGGTCACAAACTTTCCAAATTTCCCCTTACCATCCTCGCTTCAGAGCAATACTAGGAGAGATCATATGGTCCTCTGGATAGGTACCACTGCCACATCTCATTTCAGCCTCAGTACTGCCTATATTAGATACCTGGCTGGGATGGGGAAGCCAGGCTCTCATGAAACAGCAGTTTAGGTAGGAGAAGGAAATTAGTGACTAATATGCTTATCTCTCTCCAAGCCTTTCTCTATATCTCCCAAGCAATTAGGTGTGTCACTACTACTGCCAATGTATATTATGAAGGTTGGATCTTGTTAGGGGACTTTGAGCTACCTGTGATGTCAAACCTGGGCAGGGACTTCCTCTTACCGTGACTTGTAGACTAGGCAGTCCTCCCTTCTACCCTATGCTTCCCCACATCCAAGCCTTCTAGGCCCTGCTCCATTCCATCTTCGAGTACCTCCTGGAGCTGGTCTTTGGGTCATTTTTTGCTCAGGTGGGTCCTGGCCAAAAATCATGGTTTACCAGACCTCAAATGGAGCTCACTCCACAAACAAGGCTGCAAAGCTGATCCTCAGCTGCCAGGATCCTAAGACAAAGAGCATGCACTTTCCTCTTTACTCTGAAAATGAATCTCCGTAATTCTTTACACAAAGTCCATAGACCCACTGCCCCTATCTTTGTTGGATATGAGCAAGCATCCTGAAAATGGGATGCCTATTCTTCCATTCCCTTGTTTCCTATACTTTTCTTGTATAGATAGCTCTAGTCCCTTTACATTTAAACCATTTTGGGGATGGATGTCGGTACCTGTTTGGAAAATCTACTTTTGTGCCAATTCCTAGGCCTCCAAGTATCTGGGGTGATGACCTCTAGCTCTTTCAGGCATTGGCCTTTCACTCGGCTCTCCAGATCAGTTTGAAAAAAAGTCAAAAAAGGCCTTACTGAGTCCAGAGTGAGGGGAGGCCATGGGTTGACTATCAAAGACTGATATAGATCCTTTGGAAATTCCACAGAGAATTTCTGTAGCTTTACAATTAACCAATTGTTTTCCCTTAGCTGTAGAGTTTGTTTTAATATATTTATAGATGCATCTAAACATTTGCTAATCAGTTCTGACTATGTCATTTTAAATTAAGTTAGGTACCTAACTATTTGGCATATTCACCCATTTCCCATCTACATTCAAGCTATAAGACTATTTTCCTTATTTTAAATAGCCCTCTGCTACAGGCCATGGGATGTATGATTTTCTCCAAAACCAGTTAGCAGCTTAGATACTTGCCTGCTCAAATTATAAAGGATACAGATGTTGCATTTCAACATCTGTTGTTGATTTCAAAAGATTTTGAGGTCATTCTGTGTCACCTTTGAGTAAATGGCAATTTGTTTTTTCTAGCAAATGTTTATAAAGAGAAACCAAAATAGTAGGTTCATGCGTTTAGTAGTTCAACAAATATTTAATGATGCTCTATGCTAGACACCGCCCTGAGCTCTTTAAAGAATATGTATTTTGTTTCTGTGGAAACTCCTCACATTTGTACTTAAGGAGCATGTTAGTATGTGGCGATAGCTCTTGGAATTTATAAAATTAATTCTACATCTAAATATTTTTAGACCAAGAAATTCAACGTCTGAAAATGGGAATGGAAACTTTGCTTGTCGCAAATGAAGATAAGGTAAGATGGTTATTGAGTGGCCCTGTCTTTTTCCTTACACATCGCTGGCTCTCTTTGATCCCTTCTGGTCTCTGATCTTCTGGAAAAGGCTATGTCTATCAGTCTGTCGACTTAGGGATGTGTCAGGAAAATGGCTTCTGCCTCCTAGAGACTCAGCCTCAGCTACCTGTTATTGACTTTGATGCCTGAGAACTTTCCCTAAGTGAAATGTCCCAAAAGCAGACATCTTGCCTGGCTATGTTGCTATGGAAAAAAATTTTAAAATATCACTGTGGTTGCTGCCAATACCATAGCTCCTGCTTAGATTCCTAGCAAAACTCAAGAGCAGTTCCTCTAAATCCCCATGTGCACCAGCTGGTGACCATCAGAACGAGGCAGCATGCAATGCCTCAGTTTATCCTGCCTTCTCAGATTCTTCACATTTCATTCCTGCACAATCATAAAATAGCCATTATTTATTGGTACAAATTATCTTTGGGGGTCACAGCCCTGCCTTTTACAGATGAGGGAACTGAGACTCAAAATGCTTAAATACTTTTGCTCAAGGTAAGATAATTAGTAGATAGCAGAGCCAGAGTTCAAACCCATTTGTGTAACTCAGAACCTATGTGGGCTTCCAACCCCCTAGGCCTTTGCCTTGAAATTAATTATCCCTTCTCAGAATTGCCTGAATTGTATAAGAAATCTCAGATTCTTAAGGAGCAGGTGAAGATATTGGGATAGATAAATACAGCAGCTTTATTTTAGTCTTATTTTGTATGGCTCCAGAGGGCAACACTTGGATCAGGAAGTTGATTTCCATGGCTACCTTGCTATGGCTACCTTGCTACCTTGGAGCTCTGGTGGCACAGTGCCTAGGGCATTTGACTGCTAACCAGAAGGTTGGCAGTTCAAACCCACCAGCCACTATGTGGAAGCAAGACTGGGCTGTCTACTTCCGTAAAGATGTAACATCTAGGAAACCCACCCAATGGGGGTTGCTATGAGTCAGAATCGATTCGATGGCAGTGGGTTTGGTTTATGATTATGATTATTATTTTTTTTAAACCTTGCTACCTTAGGAGGATAGGGAGACAATGAGTTCCAAGTTCCTGGAAATGCTTAAGCCCCATGAAGGCCATACCAAGGAGAGTTGTTTTTTTTTTTTTAAATAGAGATTAGACTCATAGCATTTGAGTAGAGGCATAAATGCCTGCAGTTGCAGGCAGACCATTGAGGACCCAGGCTCTAAGGGATGGGGCCTGGATATTATTTTTCCCTTTGGAGTACTCCTTAGGTTCCATATGGGGCTTCTTCTCAATGTGCTCAGAACAGAGGCTTGGCCCCAAACTGAAATTGTCTGAGGTGCTAGTGGTGTCGTCTGTGTCTAAATCTGCTCTTACATTATGGCAGGATCGTCGGATAGAAGAGCTTACGGGGCTATTAAACCAGTACCGGAGAGTAAAGGAGATCGTGATGGCAACTCAAGGTGAAAGCAATTGGGGATCTTACAGTTTTCTCCAAGTGATATTCCATCTGTCGTGTTAAACTCAGGGGCAGTTCTTCCAGGAGATTCTTCACCTCCATTTAAATTAAGATTCCCTACTGGGGAATGGTACTGTTTGGACTTTCCTGGATGGTGGGAAAGTGGAACCCAATGATTTCCAGAAATTTTATCAGATGGCAATCAATTCAAACCTGCCAGGAACTATACAGATCACCAAGGAAATAAAACTTTTAACCTTTAACCCTTGGGAATCCCTACTCTTGAAAGGTCTCCTGTACATCTTCCCAGGATACCCCATAGAGGCAATGAATAGAATTCAATATGGAGCAAAGATCAATCCAGTGCCCTCACTGGGGATTAGAGTATGTTTACCTCCTGGAGAATCTAAAAGAACACCCAGCCAATTCAGACGGCACTTTGGGAGTCTTGCTTAGAGCACTGGGTGCCTGGGTTGCTTCAGGATTTCATAGCACGTGGACAGCTCTTTGTTTCATAGTTGCTGCCCAGAGTGAATGCAGCATGCCGACAGTGCTGGTGTTCTTATGGGCACAGTGATACATATGGCAGGCTGCCATCCTTGTCATTCATACCACTGACCTGAACTCTTATCACAGTTCCTGAGGAAGCAGCTGTTTCACAGCAGAGAGCTGCTTTGAGGGCAATCTGGAACCTCTGATTCTGGCTGATCTGGGAAGATGCCAAATCCTAGCCTAGGTTGTGGCTTACTGGTCATTGCCAGGGCCCTCTGCCAGCCAAGTACACACATTGCAACCTTGTTTTCTTGAATATTTTGGGATCTTGGCAGAGGCAGCACTGGGTCAAGTCACTTTCAGAACCTGATTGCCTGTGGCCAAGCAATGAGAAGGTTGGGGGCAGCAGGTGCCGCCTTAGTGCTCCCACCAATGAGCTTTGACTAGGAGATGACCCTTGTGAGAGACCTTAGATGCCCAAAAGAGTCTTTAAATATATACTCTTATGTCCCTTTATTGACTACTTAGTCATTTTTAATGAAGAGAAAGCAATGTTAGGATTTTGTAGTACAGTTACAGATTTCTGAGCAAATCACACAGTAATGATCATGCTTTCTGCATTAATGCCACCAGGGCCTTCAGAAAGAACTCTCTCAATCAATGAAGAAGACCTGGATGGAAGTTTTAAAAAGTGGAACTCTGCAAATAAAGGACCCGAAGAATTATTTAAGCCAGAGGTACTGTGTTTCCATCCACAATGTGGTATTTCAGCAGACTCTCAGACTTGCCCTGAACTTAAGGGAAGATCTAGACAGGAGGATACATGTGACCCTACTCATCTGAGAGGTGAAACATTAAATCAGCAGAGTAGCTCCAGAAGCCTTGGGGAGAGGACAAAAGAGGAGAAGGGGTCAAAGTTCAGGCCTATGTTGTTTTGGGGACATAAGAGATCAGAAACAAAAAATTTAATTGGCTTCTTTATGTATTTTTGTCTCCCCTCTGTGGAAGGTAAGCATAGACCAAAGGTGATGTTTGTGTTATTTGCCACTGTTTCTCCAACCAGTAAATCACTTGCTAGTTAATCTACTCGACTCTTTGTCAATCCTGTATGTGTCAGAGTAGAACTGTGCTCCATGGGGTTTTCAATGGTTGATTTTTTTGGAAGTAGATCTTGTCTGAGGCCTCTCTGAGTAGACTCAAACCTCCAACCTTTCAGTTAGCATCCAAGTGCATAACCTTTTACACCACTCAGGAACTCCACTGCTTCTTCAAGCTCTGCCTGATACCCAGTAGAATTCAATTTTGAATGAATGAATGAATTTTGCTCATTTAGAGTGAGAATTGCAACTTCCAACATGGTACATTCCTGTTTCACAGATATCCTCTGTAGCCCCTATAACTAGCACATGATTTTCTTCTCTTCCTTTTCCCACGCTTAGTTTATTAATTTAAAATCTACTCCTATTGTATGAGGAACCTATACATAGACCGGGAGGCTGTTGTTCGAACAGAATGAGGGGATACTGCATGGTCATGGTTTAAAATCAGAAAAGGAGTGCGTCAGGGTTATATCCTTTCACCATACTTATTCAATCTCTATGCTGAGCAAATAATCTGAGAAGCTGGACTATATGAAGAAGAATGTGGCATCAGGATTGGAGAAAGACTTATTAACAACCTGCAATATGCAGGTGACGCAACCTTGCTTGCTGAAAGTGAGGATGACTTGAAGCACCTACTGATGAAGATTAAAGACTGTAGTCTTCAGTATGGATTACATCTCAATGTAAAGAAAACGAAAATCCTCACAACTTGACCAATAAACAGCATCGCGATAAATGGAGAACAGATTGAAGTTGTCAAAGATTTCTTATTATTTGGTTCCACAATCAACACCAATGGAATCAGCAGTCAAGAAATCACATGTTGTATTGCACTGGGTAAATCTGCTGCAAAAGACCTCTTTAAAGTGCTAAAGATCAAAGACATCTCCTTGAGGACTAAGGTGCACCTGACACAAGCCATGGTATTTCCAGTTGCCTCATATGCATGTGAAAGCTGGACAAAGAATAAGGAAGACCAAAGAAGAGTTGAGTTGTGGTGTTGGCAAAAAATACTGAAAGTACCATGGACTGCCAGAAGAACTAACAGATCTGTCCTGGAAGAAGTGCAGCCAGAATGCTCCAAGGAAGTGAGAATGGCCAGACTTTTTCTCACTACTTTGGTCATATTGTCAGAAGGGACCATTTCCTGGAGAAGGATATCATGCTTGGCAGGCTGGAGGGCCAGAGAAAAAGGGGAAGACCTTCAAGGTGATGGATTGACACTGCGGGTGCAATAATGAGCTCAGGTATAGCAAGTATTGTAAGGCTGGCACAGGACCGGGCAGTGTTTCGTTTTGTTGTACATAGAGTCACTGTGAATCAGAGCCAACTTGATGGCACCTAACAGCAACAACAGCAACAATGTTGTATCTCTCTGGATTTAGGCTATATAGAAATAAGCATATTCATAAACAAAGACTTCAGATGAAGGAGTAGCTTTAGCCTAGAGCCTAAGAGGCACAAAATTCTAGGAGAGGCAAACTGGAAAGGATCTTAGCAGTCCAGGCTAATCCTTTTAATTATGATAGGCACAAATGTGTTACTTGGTGACCTGGTTATTGAGCCAGAACTAGTATCCCAGATTGCTGGCACTAACAAGAGTAGTAATGCCACTTGTTCAATACCTCTGAGTGGTCACTGTGCTGAGCAGTGCACGTGGCTCATCTGCCTTACTCCTCACAACATTCCAGGGATCCTTATTTTGTCATGATGAAGGTGAGGTTTGGAGATGGTAAATAATTTGTTCTAGGTCCATGGCAAGTAGATGGCAGACCTTCGCCTTGAACCCAGGTCTAGGGACTCACAAGCTTTTAATGATTACATTATCCTGCCAGTGTTCTTCCTGCAGTGGACCAAATAGATACTGGTTCAGAGAAAAGAGGCCATCTTTTCAGTCCATGCAATACTGAAGACATAGGACTGTGCTTTTTTTATACCACCATTTACTCATGTTGTTCCATCCACCTTTCATGCTCTTTCCTTTCTTGACTTCTTAGTGAATCCATTCTCATTCTCTTTACTCAGCTCAAGTGTTCTCCCCTCTAATGCCTTCTGATCATTCTTCCAGGGAGAGACAGCCACTTCCTCCCTTCTAGTCCCATTATTTTGTGGGTATTGGTACTATGAGGGTGTGTTATATTGTTCTTGTCCTAATTTATATTTATCTGCCTCCCAGGTGTGGGGAGTGCTTGCACCATGCCAGCCAGGGCCTGGTTAGGTGTTGCTGATGTTTGTAGGTATTTATTATTAATTAGGATTTTCTTATTGCAGAACTGAAATAAATTCTAGCTAACCTAAACCAAAGGGAATGTTTCTGGAAAGGCATGCAGTGGCTCACTGAATGAAAGGAAGAACTGAATAACCAAGCTCAGTAAGGGCAGGAGCAGTGAAAGCTCCAGGGATCCAGGTTTCTTGTCAGGACTCTATTGCTAGGACATGCACTTCATCTAAGAATTGGGCCCAGGAAAAAGGTGCATATTGGCCCTTCTAGGTCAATATGCCAACCCCTTGACATTTTGAAAGAACAAGTCACTCACATTGATATATCCAGTATGGCTGTGCCCAAGGGAGGAAAGCTAAGTCCCCCAAAGAAAAATTCCAAGAAAGGGAAAAGAGGGTAGGTGGCCCATAAATAGTAACTGCCCTTTATGGTGACTCCTCTGTTTCTGGTGCAGATGCTTCCAAGATGTAGCTCTCCCACAGTGGGGCCACCACCACTGCCACAGAAATCACTGGAAACCAGGTAGGAGGGCTGAGCACTTCCCTGGAGCTGTTGTGCTCTCAGGCCCTTTTTGGGGATCCTGAGGTGGATGGTGACCAGCCATGCACAGTGATCATGGCCACCATCTCCTGGGCAAATCTGCCCTTCTGTTGAGGCACTCCAGCCCTCAGCAGTGCTTCCAGGGGGCCAAATAAGGATGGCCATGAACCCGTCCTGCTTCTCTTTGGAGCTTTTTTCACCACAGACTAAGTAAGGGTCATAGTCACTGAGACAGCACCAAGCCAGAGGTAAGAGACTCAGAAAAGAGGTGACTACAACTCATCCTCCAGCGTATCCAACCTCCGGTGGTTCCTCACAGCTGAGAGAGCATTCCATGATGTGTGTCTATCATTTCTGTTAGGCTCTCTGGAATGATCTTCCTGCTCTTCCAAAAAAAAAAAAAAAAACAAACTCACTGCCATTGAGTCTATTCGACTCATAGTGAACTCCTTGGGTTTCTGAGGTAGTATCTCTGTGGAAGTAGATTGCCCAATCTTCCTTCCAAGGAGTGGCTGGTGGCTTTGAACTGCCAGCCTTCTTTTTAGCTGTCAAATGCCTTCAGAACTCTCTAAGAAAAACCAAACTCACTGCCTTCAAGTCGATTCAACTCACAGCAACCCCTCTTTGGGTTTCCGAGGCAGTATCTCTACAGAAGTAGATTCCCCAATCTTCCTTCTGAGGAGTGGCTGGTGAGTTTGAACAGCCAACCTTCTGGTTAGCAGTCAAATGCCTTAGGCACTATACCACCAGAGCTCCTTCAGAGTTCTCTGTTGTTGTTGTTATATGCCGTGGAGTGGGACCCGACTCATAGCAACCCCTCCTTGGGTTTCCGAGGCAATATCATTACAGAAGTAGATTGCCCAACCTTCCTTCCAAGGAGTGACTGGTGGGTTTGAACCACCAGCCTTCTGGTTAGCAGTCAAATGCTTTAGGCACTACCCCAACAGAGCTCCTTCAGAGCCCTCTAGGGCAAGCCATTTCCTTCACAGGGAGGTTGGTCTAGTTGCTTTGAGAAAGCTTTACTTAACAGTGAGCTGGCCTGTGGAACTACTTGGCTACTACTTATCTGGTTCTGCCTAAAAGGAAACTGATTCTAGTTTGCTGTATCAACTCTTTAGAACACATTTCCAAGATGGGCTTCATATAGAAGAGATATGGTGGCTTTATTGCCCAGAGCAGACTGTCTTTCAGCCAAGGTATCTGGGAAAGACAGCCACAAGCTTGAGAGAAGCTTTCCCAGAATGGTGCTGAGTCTCCAAAACTTATGTTTTGGCTGTACACTTTGACTTAGGTTCCCAAAGACCACTTTCTGGGGGCTTATAAAGACCTGTTGTTCCCCTGAGCCTTCAGCCCTAGAGTAAAATGAAAATGTCATAGAAAGTAGTTGGGCAATTCTTAGTTTTACAGAATAAGAAATTTGGTATGTGAGGCTACTCGGGAAATCAACCCTAAGAAATTAATTTGCATTGACCAGACTCAAAAGAGACTAGTGTGTAAGCAAATGCTGCTTTATTCATTCATATTGAAAAATAGGACTGTCAAGGATACTGGGATCCTCATAGTGTTGCCCTTCTCTGTCCAGCTGGTGTCCTTCTCTTTAAAATAGTCTCTAGAAAAAGAAAATTTCCTCTGAGCACACTTCTCAGGGTGTATAGAACCAGAGCAGAGAGTTGGAGGATCCTAGTTTTGGAGCTCTGGTGGCCTGATGTACTTGTCTCCACTCTAAGAAGGCACCAGCTCCTTCCTCCCAAGATTGCTTTGTGGATCTGCAGATAAGACATAATATTCCCTTTCCTTTTGACTCTGGTCTTTTATAACCACACAATAGTCACCTCCCATCACCTCTCATCAATGCTGTACAAACAAAAGTGTTCTAGATTTTGAGAAATGCCCGGGACTTTTAATTTGGATTTAAGTGATGACCTGATGTCCTTACTAACACATTGACAGACCAGGCTATCTACCAGAGTGGGCCAGTCTTGTCTTTTATGGAATAGTTATTACTAGAGAATCACTTTTTTCTGACCACAACCCCTAAACACAAGACAGACTACTGGTTAAGCATCTGAAATGCCTTCTACATGAATGTCCCTCTTTCTCCAGTAACTATTTGTCTGCTTTCTTTTTTGTTTTTTCAAGAGCTCAGAAGAAACTCTCCTGTAGTCTAGAAGACTTGAGAAGTGGATCTGTGGAAAAGGTCAGCTCATTAATCTATCTATAGTGATTACTTAGGGACTTCTTTGTGTCCAGCACAATACTGGGATATACAGGTGAGGTCCTAATCCCTGCCTCATTTAGGCTATTAAAGAGTTGCTGGGAAGATATTTGAGAAAACCAATCAAATGTGGACTAAGGTATCTTAGATGCAGGACAACTCAGAAAATGCTGTCTGGAGGTGATGAACAGAAGTATTTGAGATGGGAAAGGCTTGGTTAGAGCCTAGTGAGCCAGGTAGGTTTTAGGAAATGGTGGGAGCAGGAAGAGATCAGGTCAGAGCCATGAGTTGAATTAAGCCAGAAAAGACCTTGAATATTGGCTCTGTATCCCAAGGATAGTTGGGAGCATTACAGAGTTTTGAAGAGGAAGTAATGTGGATAAAGGAGATGATTCCAGGAGTAGAGTATGGGGTAATTTAGAAGATTAGAAAGGAGGCTGTTGGGAGAGTCTAGAAACAGAATAGGAAACCAGTGGCCCTTGACCATGTAGGTGGTCCTTATGGCAGAAAGGAAGTTCCCAGGCTCTCGAACTTAGTCATTGAGACAAAGTAATCCTGCCCTGATAGAGAGCATTCAGTGGCCCACACTACACCAGAACCCTTGGTCTCCAGCACTGTGCCAGCCTCACTGGTGATACAATGGAGAACAATAAAGGCTGTAGCCAGCAGGAGCCGCTGGTCCATTCAGTGTCTTTGTTCCCATGGTCCTGTGCCTCTCACTCACCCTCATCAGATTGCTGGTAGCAGCTCAGGACATGTGCCCATGAGTTGGGCAGTGAGTGACCTGTATTTTCTGCCATGGGTGGTGATTACTTGACATGAAGATGGGGAGGGAGGGGATGCACCTTTTGAATTTAAGCAGGCAAATGATCCTGAGTTTTTGTTGTTTGTGACTAACACAGTCTTCTTACTTTTTCTCCACATAATTGAATCCATCTTGCCACTCCATAGTGTGTTGATGGGAACCAGCTCTCCTCGGTGGTAGAACCCAAGGTACATTAAATGAAGTTCCATCTCCTGTTGTGGCTGTACTATTTGCTTTGTGTGTTTTATTTAGCAGCTTACAGTTTTTGTAACCTTAAAGTATTTTACCAATAAAGGGAAAGAAGGCTAGAGGAAAGACAAAACTTCCTCCTCCTTCATTTTCTTTTTGTGTGAATTCAACTGTATCATGTACTTTGACTTCCAGCGTTTGTAAAGTAGGAATTATTATTATCACCTCTATTTTATAGGCTCAGAGAAATTACTCTTTAGCAAAGTAATCTGGATCTAATCTCTGGGAGGAGGATATGATGATCTTGGCACATATTTAGTGATAGCTATAATCCTTTCTGTATTGGTGAAAATCAAAATGTCATGGTGAAAATCACAGGAGTATACTCAGTCCCCCTTTTATCAACAAGTCATGTTATAAAAATTCCATCAGAACTCAAGTCCACCTAAGAAGCTTGTTGTAGAAGATGCTTACGTTTCCCAGGCCAGTGTACATATGGTGAGTCTGTGATACACTGAGGATTAGTATAATTTTCATGACTTAAACCCCACCCAGGATCATTTATAGCGCTATATGGGAAATGTATTGTGAGCCCAGAGACATGTCGCTTCTCAGTTCCCTCTGCCACCACATCTATATGAGATGTATGACCTCATTGCATGCTGACTTCTGACTGGGAGGGCCTTTTTATATTTTTTCATCAACATGACAGAATGAGCATCTCTGCCTTTCTTTAGCATTTGTGTAGGAGAAAGATCCTTAATGCACCTTCTCATCTAGGTAAGGGGCTCCTCTGTACTTCCATAGCTGTAGCAGTCAGTGTTTCTATTGGGTAGCCATTCCTTGAGCCATCTGCATTATGGGCTAAATGTCTGCTGCTGGCTCTCTTGTCTAGAGACTCTGGACTCAAAATCCCTTGAACCTGGCTGTGTGTGCTTCCTTGGTAAAATAAAAGGCTTCCTGTGGTTGTCTTGTGCCTTCCTCAAAACATGGGGACTGCTCTGCTATATCTTTCCCTCAGCAGTCCCCCTGCCTCCCCTACCTCATCCTCAAATGGGCCTTTCATGAAGGTTTCCAAAGCACATCATAAGGCAGTTCCTGCTCTTTTGGAAACACAGCAGGTTTAAGCTTTAAAACTTAGGCTTAAGGTTTTTTGTAATGCATTTTATTGAAATATAATATATGTACAGTGAAATACACAAAATTAAAGTGACATGGATCAATGCATTTTTTTGCAGTGTTCCCTCCCCCCCATAACCAACAGAGTTTCCTTCCATATATAAACCTTTCCTTGACTTTTTACAATAATGAACTCATACTATATTTGTCCTTCTGCGATTGACTTATTTCACTCAGCATAATGTCCTCCAAATTCATCCATGTTATGAGGTGTTTTGCAGATTCTATGTTATTCTTTAATGTGCCATAGTATTCCATTGTCTGTGTGTAACATAGTTTGGTTAATCCATTGTTCTGTTGATGGGCACGTAGGCTGTTTCCATCTTCTTGCTATTGTAAATAGTGCTGTGATGAACATGGGTGTGCATATATCTGTTCTTGTCCTGCCTCTTACTTCTTTAGGATATATACCTAGTAATGGGATTGCTGGGTCAAATGGTATTTCTAATTCCAGTAAAGTTAGGCTTAAGCTTTAAAACACTATAAGACACTGACATGATTATCAAACCAGATAAGTGGTATGGGGCCATTTAAGTTATGATGAAAAACTATTCTAGATTTAAAAAAGATTGATTCTTACATGGTTTTGACCATAATCACAATGTTGTGCAGTCCAACTAGTTCAACATGGCTACCCTCTCCTCAAAACACACATATCACAACCCCATCAGGACCGCTACCTACTACTATAGGTGCAAGAATTTTCTGCAGCATTCACTGAACATCTTCTTGGCCTCCCTAGAATGTGCATCTGTTGATCACAAATTTCCTTGTGGAGTCCATGGAATAAGTCAATCTCCCTTGCTGCTGATAGCTCTAACATTTAAGGTCTTCATGCCCTCTCTGAGTAGTCTGTTCTCTGGACTAAACATCATCTTCTCATGTGCACAGGCATAAAAACCTTTAAATTCTATTCTGTCTTCTTACAAACAGCACTGGTTTCTGCATGTAGCCTTTAAGTTGTGCCCTAGACCAGCTCTGAGGATAAGTTTCCAGACAGAGTCTGACCTGTGCTTTCCTTGATCTGGGGATTGCTCTTCTAGTTCTTCCTTTTACTCTGGGACCCAATGTGTGATATTTTCTGTACCTCTGTTGGTCTACTGTCCACTGTGTGCTAGGCCCTGTACGTATATTATTTCCCAGCAATCCTGAGGCAGGAATTGTTGTTCTGCACTAGAAACAATAAAACAGAGGCTCAGAGTTGTTAGAGTTTTGCCTGAGTTGATCTGACACAAAGCCTGGGCACTTAACACTCTGGCATGCTTCCTCTGTTTCTAATTTAAAGCAGGTGGTAATTGGTTCTGTGTTACTCCTTTTCTGATGCCTCATAACTGGGGTTATTCTTCTTGGGGGCAGTAGAAACAGAACTGGATGGAGCTGAACCTTTCTATTTCCTCTGTGTCATATCTTAGTCTTGTGCTAGCTTCTCCAGAAGTAAATAGTTCCTTCTCAGATTTTTTTCATGATCTGAACAGATCTCAGATAGCCCTTTCTGTTGCCCTCAGCTGCTTCCACTTTCTTCCTTACAAGTCTGGACTGCCTTTTGAAGCCCATCCTTGGGTTAGGTATATGTTTCCTTTACATCTCAGGGGAGCTCCCGGGCAAGCCCAGCATCGGCATCCTTGGTTGTCTCTGCCTGTGTTGGGACAGCATGTGTGAAGACACAATCAGAAACCTGTTTTTGTTAATCCCTCCCATCCCCAGAGTCCCTGTATTATATGGAGTTTTGGAGTCATGACTTCTGTGTCTCTGAACTTTTTAAACACTGCCTTCCCACAGTCAGTTGCTCCCAAATCTGTGTATCAGAATAATCTGAAGGCCTTGTTAAAAAATACTGGCTGATTCATTGGGACCAGGATGGAGCCTGGAAATTTACATTGTTACTCTAAGTGGCGGAAGTGATTTTGAAGTAGCCCGGGCATTGAGGAGCATTTAGGAAATATTGATCCTGCCCACATATCTGATCATCAGGATCAGCCTCCACCTTGTGAACTTTAAAATCTCATGGTCTCTATCTCAACGTTCCATTGTTTCTACTTTACCCACCAAGTCTTTCGGAATTCTTTGAGAATTTAGTCCCCTCTTATCTCCCTCCTTTCTGAGCTCGTTATAGGAGGTTAGTAACAAGTGTTCTATGAATGGATTGAATTCACACCATTTCTAGGACATATGTTTATAAGGAAATCGAATTCAGAAAGTTACTGGATATTTGGCTTTTTAGCTAAATGAAACAATGTCTTGGTCATTGCAGTCTCCTTTTACTGCTTTTACTTTCTAGTTTTGAAATCTGTTTTGTCTTTCATAATACTTTTTTTTCTATGTCTAATCAAGTAATCCACAGTTGATTCCTTTAGTAATGTCACCCCAATTTTTCTTTTATTCTCAGTCAAATGCATTCCACTGTGTTTCACCCAAATTTGTAGATTATATCCTTCTCTACTAAATCAGTGCTATTCTTCATCCCCTTTCAGGAAGCTTGTTTCTTTGGGAACCTTTCCATGGCCAGGGCCTAAACTCCCTTGCCCTGAGACTGTATTTCATGCAGTATGACTCTAAGTGCTACAGTAACTCCATCTGTTGGCATGTAACTCTCTGTTCGCCTTCCTGTTGTCATCTCTCCCAGGAGTGTGTACACCTTCTCATTTTGCCTTAACTGATATATTTCAGAGTAACTGTTACCATATTACAGGTTTTTTCTTCTGCTTCAAGTTTAAACTCTAATTCCCCTGCTGTAGCATAACCTTCTCTCAGGAAAGATCCATATACTTCCTGCACTTGGTCAAGCTTCTGCAGAGATCTGCCCTGGTTTGGTCTAAGGGAGAGCCCTGCTTAGCAGCCACCTCTCCATGATCCACAGGAAAGCGAGATTGAGGAGAACAGGGCAGCTCAGCCTTTGACTGGCCTTAGTCTCCTCTTCTGCCAGGAAGAAGATATAACTTCATAACAACAACAACAACAAATTATGGTAACTCTGCTAGGAGAAAAGAAATTATTTTACCACACTGTTCTGAGCTTAGTCTTTTCATCTGCTAAAATAGGCTTAATAATAACTTGGAAGATTATTATAATATACATATGATAAAGCAATACGTAGATTTTATTAGAATTCTGGTTTACAGGGTATTCAAAGAGCTCATAGAATTCACAGCTGTGAATTCCTTGAGTCTCTGAGGCCCAGACCAAATGGCAAAGGCTCTGTGTGTGAGACACCTCCACTTTCTGCTTAGGGACAGTTTGCAGTCAGCCTTGGATTTGGATTTAGCTCTGGTCCACTGTTCTGGTCTGGAGTAAATGGTCTTTAAATGGTTTTTGAGTTGGCCTAAGGGAAAAATAGCTCTTTGAGGAATGAGAAGTTGTTCCTGTATCTAAGCTTTTCCTATCTGAGTGTAAGTCTGACACTGAGGGCTAATGTGGCACCTCTCTCCCTCTCTCTCTCTCTCTCTCTCTCTCTCTCTCTTTCATTTCATTTCATTAGGGTAGCCCTTTCCTGGTGGAGCACAAATACCCCACATTACCTGGGAAGGTTTCAGGAGCCACGCCCAATGGAGAGGCTGCCAAATCTACTCCGGCAGCCTCCCAGCCTGACCCCACAGGGAGCAGCCTGCTGAGACTGAGTGAGTATCCAGACCCCTGGGCTGATGTCCTTAGGAGCAGTGTCCTTGGCACATCCAACTATTGTAGAAGATGCCTGCACTTACCACTATAGTCTACAGTTGGAGAATGGTGAGAGGGTAGCTGAGACAAGCTGTACCTTAGGGTAGTCCCACTCCAGGCAAGCGGTTACCACAGGAAAGTACTTCAGAGCCCCAGAAAACCTAAGTGTGAACGCGCTCTATTTCTTTCCAACTGCATTTATTCCATCCTCGTTTTTTCCTCTCTGTGTTTCTTTTCTCAGACCCTTTCTTGTCCTCCTTACCAGCACTCTTTTTCTGTCCCTTTTAGACACCACCTTCCTATCTCTTCCTCTATCATCCTGATTTTGTCTCTCCTGTCTCTGCCTTTTTCTCTGCAGCTTCCCTATTACCAGTATGATGAGATTATGTGCTCTTCTAAGTGAGAGCAGGGATTTTTCTTCTTAGGGAAAGGGAGCCCATGGCCACTGGGCAGGAGTGGTGGTTAGGACCTGAAACCATGGACATCATTGCTGCTTTTCATCCATAATAGACCATCTCTCCCTAGCAGCTGCAGCAGATTCACTGGGGCTCAAGGGAGGGATGTTCTTGTCCTTAGCCATGACTATTCCCTGACCTGACCCATGGGTTGGCTTCATGAAGGCCAGTTCTACCCTTGGCTTTAAGGCCTCCAGATAATCCCTTGAATCAGTGTGTCCTGGTGACATTCAGATTGTGGACTTGCAGCAGCAGCTTTGGATCATTCCAGTCCAGTGAGTCCTGGCATGCACACAAGAGCTGGGTGTGGCCTGGTACATTCAGCCCACCCTCCTTCTCCCTGTGTGCTGATACCACAGCCTGGTAGGAAGTACCACCAGGAGCATTTGGTCCCCTCACGTGAGGCCTCCTCTCACTGTGCTAACCCTGTGGGCTGAGCTTAGTCATCATTCACCTATCCTTCCACGTGGGATTATTTTTCTTTCTGTTTGAGTTTTTCTCTCTTGCTTGATGACACTCTTTTGTTTATTTCTTTGCTTCCCCATAACTCTGTTGGGTTGGACTTTGGCCTCTCTTGCTTCTTCATGTGGCTTCTCTACTTCTTGGTTGGCTGGAGATCGTGGCCGGAGTGTCAGTGCCCCTGTATTAGGTACTGTACCTGTTCCAGGTGAGGTGGAGAGTGAGAATGCCTTTGTTTCCCCACCCTATTACCCTCCCCCCAAACATTCAACCACATTCCCCTCCTGCCTGCATTTCTTCATCTCCCTTGGGGTAAGAAGAACAAGCTCCTGACTAAAGTAATCATCAACTACTTCAATCCTAAACCCTTAGTATTTGAAGACCATTAGTTCACCCAGCTTTAAAACATTGGCTAATTAACTCCTCAGTGGGAAAACTTGGACTGTGCCTGAGCCCTGCTGGTCTCTGAGATCTTGGTACAGAGTTCTGCCCTGAAGGCAGAACTGGGCAGATTCTGTCCTGCTCCCACTGAAGGATGGCCCAGAGTTGGGGGAGGTTTTCAAAAGACATGTTATTTTCTCTCATTCACATGTCATTTCATTCCTTCAACCTCAGGAGAAACAGAAAGTAGTTGGGATGACACTGCTATGGCCAACGACCTCTCATCCACCTCATCGGGGGCTGAGTCGGCCCCCCAGTCTCCTCTGACTCCAGAGGGTAAACGGAGCCCCAAGGGCATCAAGAAGTTCTGGGGAAAGTAAGTTGGTGGTGATGATCATAGTTATACTGCTTGTAAATTAATTAAGAGTCTATGTAATCCCCTGGTCCATTAGCTGTTAGAACAGATACAGAAACAGAGTGGTCATATTTAGAGAGAAAGGAATTTGAGCTGTTTTTTTAGGGCCCGGAGAAGAAGAATTATGCAAGCCACCCATTTATTATAGCCAGTCACCTTACATGACATTCATTTTAGCCATCCACCGACCCACCCACCCACCCACCCACCCATCCATCCATCCCACATACCCTGAACACATTCTCTGCAGCTCACACTACAAGTGCTTTGTGAGAAACCTATGTATGAAACCAGATCTTTCTTTCTTAGGGGTTCAGCTGTGGTTTGTTAAGAAATTTTTCAAGACAGAGAGCTAAACATTTTCTGGCTCAATTGATCCAGTCTGTGAAGTAAAAGACTTTGGCTTCCTGCCAGCCATCAGCTTTCACTTTGACCTTCATGAGAGTGCCCCAGATCCCAGAGGCAAGGTCAGAATTGAAGCTTGGGTCTAGCCAAGTTGTAATCTTTGACCTCAGGAGAAGCACTGGGAGACCCTGCTGCCCAGAGTTCAGGTTCTGGCCTGTGTGGACCTGTGAAAGTGGGCATGTACTGGGCACTTTCAGACTGTCTTCCGCTGATTGCCTTCACACAGAATCCGAAGAACTCAGTCAGGAAACTTCAACACTGATACACCTGGAATAGCAGAGTTTCGACGAGGTGGGCTCCGAGCAACTGCAGGGCCAAGACTCTCCAGAACCAGAGACTCTAAGGGTCAGAAAAGGTAAGGCTCCCTCTAGTCCATCTGTAGAGCTATTGAAGTGTGGTGGGTTGGGTGTTCCAGAACCTTGAGAGATGAAAGGCATGAGCACTTACTACAGGGCTTCTCAGCTTTTTCCACATGATACACATAGAAGTTGCTCATATGTGTAAGGACCCTTAAATGGAGCCCTGGTGGCACAAAGTGCATGGCTGCTAACCAAAAGGTCAGTGGGTTGAACCCACGAGCCTGTGTGAAAGATGTGGCGTTCTGCTTTCATAAAGATTTGTTGTTAGGTGCTGTCAAGTTGGTTCCGACCCATAGTAACTCTATAGGACAGAGGAGAACTGTCCCATAGGGTTTCCCAGGCTGTAATCCTTATGGGAGTAAATTGCCAGGTCTTTCTCCTGTGGAGCTGCTGGGCAGGTTTGAATGGTCAACCTTTTGTCTTGAAAAACTAGACACCTGGCTATTTCACAAAGAGATTCTCTTATCTGCTTCTGGATTAGCCCTTCTTCCACTCAGACTTCTGTGAAAGAGTATTGGTGGAACAGGCTGTATCTTCCTTATCCCCCATGATACCATTACACCAAACTTTTCTGAAGGGTGATTAACTAAAAGGAATTGCAAAGGGGTGTGTGGAGCTGGAATCAAAATGGCTTTGTTAACCATCACGATGGATGATAAAGGGTATGAAGTCTAGATAAGATTGTAATATTGATCCTAACAATGCTTAATGGTCACAAAAATGAGTTTGCTGGTACAAAAGAAAGGCCTTTGTTAACCCTGAAGCAGAAATTTGACATAACTATATGCTAATTTCCTCTGGAATTTATAGTTTAGGGACATTTTGGCATAGCTTTTAAAAAGTTTGTTATTAATATTCCTTTAGGAAAAGTACTTTATTACTCAAGCTTTCCACTCCAGTTATTTTTTTCTCCTCAGTAAAATACTTGTTTTAAAAATATTATATTTGGTGATGACATTTTATAGGAACTCTCTGATTATGAAAGAATAAATTTTATTACCTTTTTTTCTCAGGTAAATTTTACTGATTTACATTTCAATTCTTATTACTGGATAGAGAGTGCCTGTTACACCCACTTGTCAGTATTCCATATTTAATTTTTTTTCTTTGTTTTGACTTGACTAGTTATATAGACCTCTAAATAATATTTAATTTTTGTGTTTATTTTTCATTTTTTTTCTTTGTGAATTGTCTGTATCTTTTTCAGATGCTATTTCATTATTCCTATCTTAAAGTTTTCTATCAGCTTGCTGTGGATTAATATATTCAGCATTGCCTGTGGTTATTATGACCTTTTTTTTAGGTTTGTGGTGGAATTTTACTTTTGTTTTTGATACCTTTTGATATGTGAAATTCTGTGACATTGTACATAGTAGTTTATCAACTTTTCCCTTGTGAGTTCTTTCATTATTTTGTTTTAAAGTTTTTTGGTGATTTTTTTAAAAACTGTGATTGATCTATTTTGGGATTTATTTTTATATGTGGTATGCAGTATTTTTTCAAGAAAAAGGCACCATAATCTATTGATAAAGAGGGCAGGTTCTAGCACACATGGCTGGATCCCATCAGTGTGGAAGATGTTCTGAGTTTATCCGAGTGTACTACTCTGAAGCAAGGCTTCAACTTCATGGATGATCTCCAGACAGCTTCTCTGCTTCAGGCCTTTTGTAGTGCCTTTCCCCCATACTCATGGCAGGAGTTGGATTTATCACGAATGCAAAGAAGCATAAGCTTCAAGGCCCTTTACTTGCATGCGTCCCTTCCAAGGAGAGAAAACAGTCAATGTGTTGATAAGAAGATGCAAGATCAGCACACATGTCACAATATGAATGTGTCTTCTGGCACTTGAGTGGAACCCTGGTGGTGCAGTGGTTAAGAACCCACCACCCGCTCCATGGGAGGAAAATATAGTAGTCTGCTTCCATGCCATGAGTGATCGGCACTGTTCAGTGCATGTACTCCAGCATTTGTTCTAGACTAGTGCTTTTGTGTCATTTCCTGGCTCTCTGGAATTCCTTGACTTTAAGAACAGCTCAACCATAAATTCATTTTTTTTTAACCCAACATGTTATAGGTACTTTCTTAAAAGGAATTTTTCTGAATATTTAGTCTTTTGTATTCTATAAATCCCTATTATTTTAAAAAATAAATATAAAATTGCTTTCTCAACTCCTCACCCTCATTCCTCAAAATAGACTCTCTTAAGATTTTGAGTGTGCCATTACATTCACACTTTAAATGAAAAATTGATATCTTTAAATAGATGGATTTATAATGCCTAGTTATCCTGTCTCAGAACATGATCTAGCTCTTCATTTATTCATGTCTGTTTAAAATAAATGTACTTTAGGTGAAAGTTTACACAGCAGTTTAGTTTTCCTTTCAATAACTCATACACACATTGTTCCATGACATTGGTTGCATTCTCTGCAATGTGTTAGCACTTTCCCCATTTCTACCGGGGCTTCCTTGTTCTTATCTTCATTGTTTTTGGGCAAATGTTCCCCTTTTGGTTTCATATAGTTGATTGTTCTAAGGAGTACATTTCTCACAGCTGTTATTGTTTATTTATAGGCCAGTCTATTATTTAGTTCCACCACTCATCTGTCAGTTTATCGCACTACGGTGGCTTGTGTGTTGCTGTGAGGCTGGAGGCTATGCCATCGGTATTTCAAATACGAGCAGTATCACCCATAGTGGACAGGTTTCAGGGGAGCTTCCAGACTAAGACAGACTCAGAAAAAGTAAGGGGCCATTCACTTCTCAAGGAATTGGCCAGTGAAAACCTTATGATACACTGTCTGTTATATTACCGGAAAACTTTATGAATAGACCTGAAATTTTGTCTGATACTGTTCCAGAAGATGAGCCCCTGAAATGGGAAGGCCCTCAAAATATGACTGGGGAAGAGCTGTCTCCTTAGAGTAGAGTTGACCTTAATGATGTGGATGGAGTAAAGCTTTCAGGCCCCCATTTGTTGATGTGGCACGACTCAAAATGGAAAGAAACAGCTGCAAACATCCATTAATAATTGGAACATGGAACATAAGAAGCATGAATCAAGGAAAACGGGAAGTTTTCAAAAATGAAAAGCAGTTCAAACCCACCAGCCACTCCTTGGAAGGAAGGTTGAGCAATCTACTTCCTTAGTGATACCCCCTCAGAAACCCAAGGAGGGGTCACTATGAGTTGGATCTTTAGATTGATATCCTAGCGAGCTGAAATGGACAGGTTTTAGCCATTTTGAATAGACAACTATATGGTCTACTGTGCCAGGAATGACAAATTGAAGAGGAATGGCATGGCATTCATTGTCACAAAGAATGTTTCAAGATCTATGCTGAAGTACAATGTTGTCAGTGATAGAATAATATCTATATGCCTACAAAGGGAGACCAGTCACAACTACTGTTATTCAAGCATCGAGAGGAATAGGAATTCTCAAACACTTAATTGTGCTCATGAGGAACCTGTACATAGACCAGGAGGCCGTCTTTCAAACAGAACAAGGGGATACTGCATGGTTCAAAATCAGGAAAGGTGTGCATCAGGGTTTTGTCCTTTCACTGTACTAATCTGTATGCTGAGCAAATAATCCGAGAGGCTGGACTATATGAAGAAGAAGGTGGCATCGGGATTGGAAGAAGACTCATTAACAATCTGTGACATGCAGATGACATACCTTGTTTGCTGAAAGTGAGGATGACTGAAGCACTTACTGATGAAGATTAAAGATTACAATCTTCAGTATGGATTACACTTCAACATAGAACAAAAATCCTAACAACTGGATGAATAAGCGGCCTCACAATAAATGGAGAAAAGATTGAAATTGTCAAAGATTTCATAATAGTTGGTTCCATAATCATCACCAATGGACACAGGAGTCAAGAAATTAGACGATGTATTAGGCAAATCTGCTGCAAAAGACCTCTTTGAAGTGCTGAAGAGCAAAGATGTCTCTTTGAAGATTAAGATGCACCTAACCCAAGCCATGGCATTTTCAGTTACCTCATATGCATGTGAAAGCTGGACAATGAATAAGGAAGAGCAAAGAAGAGTTGATGCTTTTGAGTTGTGGTGTTAGCAAAGAATACTGAAAGTACCATGGACTGCCAGAAGAATGAACAAATCCATCCTGGAAGAAATGCAGCCAGGATGTTCCTTGGAAGCAAGAATAACCAGACTTCATCTCACCTACTTTGGTCATGTTGCCAGAAGGGACTATTCCCTGAAGAAGGATATCATGCTTGGTAAAGTGAAAGGTCAACGAAAAAGGGGAAGGACCTCAACAAGATGGATTGACACAGTGGCTGCATCGAAGGGCCCAAGTATAGCAAGGATTGTGAGGATGGCACAGGACTGGGCAGTGTTTTGTTCTGTTGTATATATGGTCACTATGAGTTGGAGACTACTTGATGGTACCTGACAACAACAACAACAAAATTATATATATACTATATATATTATATATGTTTATATGTGGTGAGCATATGTGTGTATGTACGGATAAAAAAAAAATGCCGTGGAGTTGGATCTGACTCATAATGACCCCTCCTTGGGTTTTTGAGGGGGTATAACTAAGGAAGTAGATTGCCCAACCTTCCTTCCAAGGAGTGGCTGGTGGGTTTTAATCGCCAGCCTTTGGTTAGCAGTCAAATGCCTTAGGCACTATGCCACCAGAGCTCCCATATGTATAGATAGATGTAGGTAGACAGTCATATCATCTGGAAATAATGGCTTTCTTTTATTTTTGCTTTCTAATAGGAAGTTGTACTTATTTTTATTTTTTATCTTCTTATATTGACTACAACTCATAACTTGAAAGTACTGATAAATAACTTTTTGTTGACTTTAATTTGAGTCAGAATCAACTTGATGGCAAATAACAACAATAATTTTCTTATCAATAAATAATAGATTAGCTATTGTTGATTGGAGAGTTATTTCTATGTTTTTTAATGTTAGGGTACTGGCTCAGTTTTCCTAGTTTTCTAATCATTTTCCTTAGAATAGTGTCGAATTTTGTTGAAAACACAATTGAGTTTTGGCCCTTTATCTGAATGCAGTTGTGGCACACACACGTGTATGTAGAGCTATGACATAAACATGGCCTCATGGGAGTCATATAGGCCACCCCATGCACCAAGTAGCTGGAGGTCTGAAATTCAGACCATGTGTTATCACAGAAAACTCTAGGGTTTACCTCAAATGGTTGTGTTGCAGTGAAATTTTGTTCAGCCAAATTCCATGGTCAGGATTGTTTGTGAAAAACAAAACAAAACAAACTTCATTTTGGTGAGACCTTCTTATATTCAGATGGAAGCTCAGGCTTCCACACTAACAGAACATGCTATTTTCCTGCTCCCCAGTGATGCCAGTGCCCCCTTTGCCCAGTGGAACACAGAGCGTGTATGTACATGGCTGGAGGATTTCGGCCTGGGTCAGTACGTGATCTTTGCCAGACAGTGGGTGACCTCTGGCCACACATTACTGACAGCTACCCCTCAGGACATGGAAAAGGTAAGGGCTGAACACCAGACAAGTTAGCTCCCATTTCTTCCCAAACCAATTCACCAAGAGGTGAGTTCCCACTTTCCCTTCCCCCAAATGCATACCTAGGAAAATGGAATAAAGAATGACAGAGGAGGCAGAAGTTCCCTCTGTAGCTACAGGTTTCCATCCCAGGGCACTGTGTAGAGCTCTGCTGTCACATTCTTGAGGTATCTTTATCACGACAGCATCCTCTGGGCCAGATTGCCTGGCTAAATTGCACATCTGGTCTTCTGTCTGCAATTTCAGGAGCTAGGAATTAAGCACCCTCTACACAGGAAGAAGCTGGTTTTAGCAGTGAAAGCCATCAACACCAAGCAGGAGGAGAAGTCTGCACTGCTAGACCACATTTGGGTAACACGTAAGTATGGGCATGTATGCGTTAAGTATGTTTCTTGCAGCTCCTAAGGGGAGAGTTTCCCTGTTGAATGGTGCCTCAAAGACTGCTGTCTCCTTGTAAAAGGCAGATGGATTACTGAACCATTATTTTTATTAGGAAATAAATCTGGAATCTCAAAATGATAATTTGCTGCCTTTATTTTTGCTTCCACATTCTTCCATTTTCATGAATCCTGCATACCTGTTTCTTCCCATTTCTGTAGGATGGCTTGATGATATTGGCCTACCCCAATACAAAGACCAATTTCATGAATCCAGAGTTGATGGACGAATGCTGCAATACTTAACTGTGGTGAGCATTTTTCCTTTAAATATTTCAGTTGTTCCTGTGAGCACTCAGCTCACACTGTACCCGTGGATGTCATTTACACCTGGTTCTACCTCCTCCCTCATATGCTTAAGACCTTGAAATGGTATCATTTGTTAATAAGAGGTTCCTAATAGTAAAGTGGAGTCCCTGGTGGTACAAATGGTTAAGGGCTGAGTTACTAGCCAGAAAGTTGGCAATGCAGTTCAAATTTACCCGGAGGCATCTAGGAAGAAAGGCCTGGCAGTCTACTTCCAAAAGATCAAAGCCATTGAAAACCCTATGGAGTGCAGTTCTACTCTGAAACACATGGGGTTGCCATGAGTCAAAATTGGCTCAGTGGCAACTGGTTAGTAGCAGAATACCAATTATTGTGGGAAAAGAAGCTGTTGGTATGTCTGTGTGCAGTTTCCTACAATGCAGTAGCCTTGTCTGTGTTTCGTCTGAGAAGGGAACTTAAAGGTCATTTTGTCACTCTCATAACTCTAGTTCATCAACCAAGACTTTCCTCTTCCAGAATGATCTACTCTTCTTAAAAGTCACCAGTCAACTACATCATCTCAGCATCAAATGTGCCATTCATGTGCTGCATGTCAACAAGTTCAACCCCCACTGTCTGCACCGGCGGCCAGCTGATGAGGTGAGGTCAGGACAGGACCTATTCAGATAGCTCTGAGCCAGGACACCTGAAGCATGATGTTAGAGAAAACAAGGATGACATCATCACAGAAGTGGCTACATTCTAGGCGCTGGTGCTTGGGATTCTTCCCCTTGCCAGTACTCTTCAGTTGCCTTATACTGATCAAAACACTCCTTTTTCCTGTACTTTGTACCCTGGGACAGCCCTATAATTTCAGCCCCTCACCCCCTTTGAAGAATTTGGAGCATAGGGATTTGGGGGTGAACACATGCTATGGGACAGAGGGCAGTAGCAGCAAGTCTTCAAAGGCATCATAATGAATAAAGGAGACAGTGCAAAAGAAATGGATGGAAAAAGAATAATGGATGTCAAAGTAGACAGAGGAGAGAAGAGCTAGAGAGGAAGGGATGGTAAAGGAGGCCATAAAGAGCTAGGCATTTCAGAGTAGACTTTCCTATTTTGTTTTTGTGGTAAAAACAAAATTAGCTGACCTCCAGACCCAGAAACTCAGGAGATCCATGAGAAGGTTTTGCTGGAGAAGAAACACTGTAGGCAAACATAGCCACCAAGATCCTGGAGAAGTCTCTGGTAATGTTCCATGAGCCTAGGAGTTCCCTGTGGGCCTTGAAGCTGAAGCGTTGTCCGTCACATTCTCTCTCCTCTGTTCTTGAGAACTAAGTCTAACCCTTCTATAAGATTAATTCAGCTCCTGAGAGATTAAAAACTCTTACTTCTTCCCTCTGTCTCCTCGTTTCTCCCTATTCACCAAATATGTTTTGAATGCCATTTACATGTCAGGCACAGTGCCGGGTATTTTGAAGACCATGATGCCACTTGAGGACACTTAGTTGTATTTTCACATGTGCTCCCCTAAATTTTTCATCCACACCCAGGAGATCATACATCTAGAACACACTCAACCCAGAACTAACAGTCGTTCTCAAAGTTCTGTTGAGTCACTGAATGAGTGATTATAAGCTGTCATTTATTAGTTGCAAAGATAACCTGAGAATTAGGGAGTGACAGGATCGTGGAACCAAATTTCTCAGTGTAGAAGATCCTGTAATTTTCAATAATTATGAGCTTTATTTTTTGGAAACTGAAAAGACTCTCAGGCAGATGGCCCTGGCTGGCCTGGGACATTAAGCCCTAGGGCCCTGGGATCTTCCTCTGTTGGTGAGGCTCAGTAGCCTGAGCCATCCTCATGTGGCAGATCAGATTAACCTAATCTCTTTACTCTCCCTCTCACAGAGTAATCTTTCTCCTTCAGAAGTTGTGCAGTGGTCCAACCACAGAGTGATGGAGTGGTTGCGATCTGTGGACCTGGCAGAGTATGCACCCAACCTTCGAGGGAGTGGTGTCCATGGAGGTCTCATTGTGAGTGACTCTTTGGTCTAGATGACTTGCACATACCTAATACCAGCTGGGTTATTCAGAAACTGATCTTAAGGGCTAGTTGTAAATCCTAGAAAAAGATGTTGATAGTTCATCTGAAACCCTTACGCAAATTAAAGTCTCAAAGTATTTTGATAATTTGCTATTGAGGATTAATATACTTAGGGAGAGGAGCTTTGGTGGTGCAGTAGTTAAGGCATTTAGCTGCTAACCAAAAGGTTGGTGGTGTGAACTCACCAGCTGCTCCATGGAAGGAAGATGAGGCAGTCTCCTTCTGTAAAGATTTACAGCCTTGGAAACCCAATGAGGGTCACTTTGAATCGGAATCGACTTAATGCCCATGAGTTTGGTTTTTTGGCTTTGTTGTTGTTGTTATGTGCCGTCGAGTCAAACCCGACTCATAGCGACCCCTCCTTGGGTTTCCGAGGCAGTATCACTACGGAAGTAGGATTGCCCAACCTTCCTTCCGAGGAGTGGCTGGTGGGTTTGAACCGCCAGCCATCTGGTTAGCAGACAAGTGTCTTAGCCACTATGCTACCAGAGCTCCCTTTTTGGCTTTATACTTATGGAAACAAGATGGCCTCTTGAAGTCCTTCCCTAGCAGACCCAGAGGTATTCCAGGTCAATGGGGTTGCATGATGATCAACTCTTAACAAAGCAGCTCCACCTGTCTCTAGAGGAAAACCATGGGAGGGGTTGTGGAAATGAGGGGGAGGCCATCACAATCATGCCTGTCATGATATAATCCTCATCATTCTTACCTGCTGAATGGCAAAGCCAGAGCGGAAATGAGGAGAGGTAGCTTGGATCTCATCTGGAGCAGGCTCTGGAAGACAGCCTAATAGAAGAGGTCACAGTTCTCTGCTGGTCTGTGAAAATGAGGTGGTCAGTGCTAGGTCTGCTCAGAGCCAGGCCTTATATCAGGTGGTGAAAGGGGAGTGAGCCTCAGAATGAGTGGATGAAGCCTTAGTGCTTGCCCTGGAGGTACCCAGCATTGCCTACCTGGAGCCATCTGTGGTCACCATTGTGTGTGGTTTCTTCCTAGATCTTGGAGCCACGCTTTACTGGGGACACACTGGCTATGCTCCTCAATATCCCACCACAAAAGACACTCCTCAGACGCCACCTAACCACCAAATTCAGTGCCTTGATTGGTCCTGAGGCTGAACAGGAAAAGCGAGATAAAATGACCTCTCCAGCCTACACACCACTGACTACCACAGCCAAAGTCCGGGTGAGTTCTGGACCCTTTCTGTGGTGGGCCCCAGGGTCTACTTCTGGTCCTCATGTTGTTCAGCAGCTGGTTCTGGGCCTGAAGCCAAACCACGGTATGCAGTCTGAATGAGGAACCTCTCTTGGCTCCTACTGTGAGGGTTTGGCCCCATTGTCTGTCTTTGTTCAGTCAGTTCCTTGTCAGCCAGTCTTGAGTCCAAGGAAGAAGATGCAGATTTCTTTACACAGAAATTATATGAAGGAAGCCCACCTAGATACTTATTGACTCAGAAACTGTATCTATTCTCAAGTGGCTAGGAGTACATATTCTACCATGATGCTGCTGTCACTCATCTTGCAAAGCTGATGAGTCACCCAATCTGGGTTCCTATGAGTCAGGCCCATCGGTGTGCCGCAGGGCCATGGAGTCTTGGTCAGTACTGTCCTGCTCACACACGGAGTGCTCCAGTTGGCAGCAGGCACATTTGTCTTGTGCTGAGGTGGCCAGCAGCCACAGTCAAGAGGTTCTGAGGTTGTCCCAGCACCACCACCATAGGGTGGAGCTCTCAGAATCTCACAAAGCCTATTAGACCTGCCTGAGCCACACTGTCTTTAGGACACATCCTTCCCAGGCTACAGTCTGGCCTCCCTCAGGGCCTCTGCTCTGACCTGCAGCCCTCAAAGCCACAGCCCTGAATTTCTGGAGGCCAGCCTGCCCCTGTCCCCAGCAGAGCTTTGATGCCTCAGGTCCAGCTACAGCTCATGCAGGGACCTCCTTCCCCAAGGAGCAGGATAGGAAGTACTCTGGGGGTGATGGGTAGGGGGAGATAATCAGAATCCTCACTGGCTAAAGCTAGGGTATGGAGGAAGGCCGGGCTAGGACTGTCCAGTGTGGCTTTCCAGGCACTGGATACTGTGAGAGGAAGGAAGGTGCTCCCCATGTGGTGCAAGCATCTCTGGACTCAGCCTCTAGTGTAGACTGCAGCATCCTCTAGGAACTCCCAGGCTATTTGGAAAAATAAGAAAATCACTGGTAGGGCAGCAGGGCATGAATTTCAGTCACAAGATTTTGGAGGAGCTACAGTTCTTGTTCAAGATGAGTTGTCTGTTGGCCTGTCCCCATCTTACAGTGGAGACTGCTTATAGGTAATCTTTTGTTAAGATTTTTCGTAGAAACAGTTTTCCTTATCCTTTTCCTCTTGCCTACTCTTAAATGTATTGTCAGTCATATTTGCATACTGGCTTGGTCATGTCTTTTCATAATCTTGCATTTTCTGTGTTTTAGCCAAGGAAACTAGGATTTTCACATTTTGGAAACATAAGAAAAAAGAAGTTTGATGAATCAACAGACTACATTTGCCCAATGGAGCCCAACGATAGTGCTGGTGATGGGCACAGTGTCTACAGTGGCTACCGGTGCACTGACCTTCTCAATGCCCCAGAACTAGACGGGCTGGATCAGGTGGGGCAGATTAGCTGATGCCCTGGCCACCTGCTTTGTCTGTGCACCTGAAAACTCACAATAATACCGTGTGTGTCACCATATAACTACACCTCACCCCTTGCCTATGTGCATGACTTGCAGAGAACATTCCAGCAATTGTGTACCCTTGGACCATTCCTGAGAGTGACCAGGATATGGAGTTGCACCTTTGCTAATGGGCCAGGCTCTGGGGACTGTTGTCAAAAGTGGACTCAGAAGGAAAGACACTTAAAGATGCATTTTACATTTTTAGTAATTCTTAATGTCCATCTTCAGCACCAGTGGGAATTCATGAACTTGGACACATGTCCAAAAACCATGGACAATGCCAAGAGGCTTAGTTCTCAGGCACCTTCCCTATGCTTCATCTGAGGGAAAAATCTCAAGTGCCTTAGGTCTGTGTGTCACGGAGTCTTAGCTGAGATAAAGGAACAAACAGCAGGGATTTCTGTTACAGTGACAATGTGATTGTGTTGTGCCTTAATGCAGAGGTGGCCACATCTTTGTGATAATAAAAACAATATTTATGCAGAAAGCAAACATTGCAACATATCCTTAATCTTGTTGAAGGAGAAAAGAGCTGGGCACAGTTACAGATGGAGACATACTCATTGCATTGAGCCTGGTCCTAGTCAAGTATACACTCAAGATTTGCCATGAGTCATGGACAAGGCAGATGAAGCAAGAAAGGACCTCATATCCTTTAGATACACTGCTTTGTGCCCCTCTGCTTCACAGAGGGAACCTTGTGTCTCACATACATCCTGATTATAAATCACATCTGTTGTGCAAATCCCAGATTTATTTTCCACTTCAGCATCATGAGCCACCTAGTGAAGGAGATGATTGGGAGACAGGAAGGACCATCTTGCTGGAAAGACCCTCTGTTCTTTTGTGCATTTTGACAGCTTTGCTTTTACTGAGCTGGTGGTGCCCACGGTCACACAGGGGCTAGTCTGTGTTGGATGAGCTGAAACAGACCTGTGCTGCTGACCTGGAGGCTGGCTGACTGATAATGGCTCCTCCAGATGGCTCCTGTTTGACCACAGACTGTGAGACAGACACACCTTGCTAGGCTGTGTTCCTACTCATGGTTTCCAGTTTACTCCAGGGTAGCTTTTAGGTCCACTGGATCCTCTGGGCCTTATCTTCAGAGGAATAAGAACAGTGCCATAACTGATGGCTGGGACAGGGCTACCACACAGGTGGGCACTCTGATTCTGCCCAAGTGGAGGTGACACGAAGGTCTGTTCTCAAGCAGGTTCAGGCACGGTGGAGGCCACAGACTCTGATGAAGTCCAGCCAGCAAGAGATATGGGCATAAGTTCATGGCTGGTGTCTGATCCTGGTACTCAGGGTTGCTGAGTGACAGGTGTTCTACAAAGCTGATACCTGGGCGTTGCACATGTAGAACCACAGTCAGGGCAGGCTTCATCCTTTTGTGTCCTGGTGGGAGGATCTCTGCATGTGCCTCTTTTCAAGTCCTGCATGCAATTGTTTTGCCACTAACTCTGTGCAGCCTCAAGCAAGACCTGTTCCCTTCGTGGGCCCAATTTTCGCACCTGTAAAATGAAGGGTTGTACTTGATGTCCTCAGACGATGCTTCCAAATCTACAGTGTCTACTCAGGTTTAGGAACGAAGGAGCAAACCAGCATTACCTGAGCAGGAGGTGGGGTTGGGGGTGGGAGACTCCTTGGAAGTGAAAGTACTCCATCAGCAGCTCCCTGCGAATGCCCACGTATACTTGGGCATCAGTATCTGGGTCAGCCCATTCAGCATGCTAGAGGCCTTCATCCCTGCTGCACTCTGCTCTAGGAAACAGCTGGAACACTGAACATGTGCAGAAGGGCTGCTTCTGAAGGGCATGCTTGTGCCCTGCTCCTGTGCCCCCAAGTGCCTGAGTAGCCTCCGAGAGAGAAAGCATATGCTTGTGTGGGACACTGGAAGCTCTGCCTTTCTACAGGGACAGAAGCAGCATGTTCTTTGTCCATCTGTCCCTGCTCTGGCCTGATCCACTCCTTGGCCCTCTCCTGGGGAGAAAACCAGGTCCAAGCAGGACAGGACTTGCATGCTGTGTCTGCATATCACAACCTGAGCCCATATGTGCTGACTGGGCTGCTGCCCATTTTACAGATGGTACCTTCGGAAGGCACTGTGACGCAGATAGGGCTCCTCTCTCAAGACATTCACCGCCTCACGGTAGGACTCCAATTCTCTCTCCACAGTAAGACAGGTGCCATGGAGGCCCAGGGAGTTTGGTGTGATGGTACACAAGGCTTGGGGCATTGCTACCACTACTACAGAGCCTGTATCATCATCACCTCCGCTCAAGGGGAGAGCTAAGTATGGTGCTGGTACTTGAGGCCAAAGCCTGAGCCCAAGCTTGCCCCTGAGGGAAAAATAAGCCCAAAGGCCTTCTCTGCAGGCATGCTGCAGGGCCTTGAGCCACTAAGGGCTTTGAAGAGTCGTGAGCCTTAGCAGAGGCCAGCTATAGGGTACTATATCTCATCATCTCTTCCCAGTCTAGGAATTGGTGTGGGAATCAAGATGCTTAGCAGCTCTGGGTCACCTGCCTCATCAGCCCAAAGCTAGGCCTCATCTCTGATCACAGGGACCTGGTTCTGCCTTCTCTGTCTATAATATGAGCACATTGCCTCTGATTTGGCAAGTGTCACAGGAAGCGAGTTCCAGTGAGAGCAAACCCTATCATGGGGAAGCAGTTTAGTCTTACGGGAAGGGAAGTTGGGTAGACCTAGTTCAAATCCCTGCTCTGCCTCTCTGAGCTTTGGTTTACTAATCTGTAAAGCAGAGTTAATAATAGTCTCCTTACAAGGCATGTATGCAGGCTAGAGTCATCAGTAAAAAGGCAGCCATGGAGCAGGGAGTCAGGTTTTTGAAGTCTCACAATTCCCAGGGCCCTTTGGTTTCTGAACCATGCCATCACTGAGCCCACTGATTCTACTGTCTGTCCATGTTGTATCCCCTGCCCTTGTCCTTTGCCTGCTGATTGACAGAATCACATTAAGAAAGTTGTGTCCCTGAGTGGTATAAATGGTTAATGTGTTTGTCTGCTAACTAAAAGATTGGAGGGTCGAGTCTAACCAGAGACATCTCAGAGGAAAGGCTGGTGATACATTTCTGAAAAGTCAGCCATTAAAAACCCTACGGAACACAGTCCAGCTCTGACGTACGTGTGGTTGCCATCAGTTCGAACTGACTTCAGGGACAACTAGATGGGTCCAAGAGCAAGATAGGAGCAGGAGGGGTCCCTGAATCCAAGTGGCATCACTTTTATTATTTTTTTTTTCTTGGCTCACATACTGAAGTGAATCTGCCCACTCTTGCCATTAGCACTTCTGATAAGGCCTCTAAGATATGATGAACAATTTATTATTGTCTTAATAATGTTGTCTATTCTGACCCCACTTCTCAGAATCCCAGGACATTATGAACTTGCAGGGTACCAGTGTCACAAGTGGGTCAAACCCAGTGCTCCTCTGCTTCCCACCATAGGCCACAGGGCAGCCTTGACCAAAACCCTGTTAAACTGCCCTTTCGGTCGTGTCCTTTCAGACTCTGCTGAGCCAGGACCAGCTGTTGAATGACTCTCGCCTGGCCACTCCCAGCTCTGATGACTGGAGATGACTTCCTTCATGGCCGAGAGCCCAGAAAGGCACGTGTGGGGCCCCTGAGTCTTTGCTTCAGTGAGGAACTGGCACAACAGCCATCTGTGGAGCCTTGGGCTGGTGCTGGCGGGGGCATCTCAGACACGTATGCTAACAGGAGCAAAGCAGAGCTGTGGAGGCGATGTCCTAGAGATGGCCCCAGTGTCCCTATGTGTTTCCAGCCCTACTGTGCTCTTCACCTGGGACTCTGGTGGCATAGTGCCTTAGGCATTTGACTGCTAAACAGGAGGCTGGCAGTTCAAACCCACCAGCCACTCCTTGGAAGGAAGATTGGGCAATTTACTTCTGTAGTGATATCTCCTCGGAAACCCAAGGAGGGGTCACTATGAGTCAGGATGGACTCGACGGGAGTGAGTGCTCTCCACCACAGCTTTTCTACCTTTTGTATTTTTATACATGGACTGCAGACCACTTTTGTGGGGGAGGAATGAGATATTGGCATACAGACTCAATGGCTCATGCTATTCCTGGTGACAGCTGAGAAGCTGTTATACCAGAAGGGAGGGGCTGTTGGTTCATAAAAGCTCTGCTGGAAAAAAACTGTTCTGGAAAAATGGCTCCGAATCATGTTGTGACTGAGCGCTGTGAAATGGTAATAGGGTGCCCCCTACTGGGCTGCTTTGTAGGAGCATGTATTCCCATTCACTGGAATCAGTTAGGGTGAGGAGACTCAGGGTGGAGGGTGAGAACAGGAAAAGGAGCCGTGAGACTCCTTTCCTACTGTTCTGTCTGCCCTCAATTTACCTTCATCTGCAGTGCGCGTCCACTCGTTCCTAGGTGCTGCTGGGTCTCCCAGCATTTTAGCGGAGTCCCTAACACAACATGTACACACAAGCCCTCTCCCTCCTCCCAAGCTCACCAGAGCACTCTCATAGTCTGTCCTACCATCATCTTCAGATGTAATTGATTAAACAGCTTCCCTTCACTAGAGGGCCCGTGGGCACCCCAGATTCAGTATATTTCCACCACAATTTGCCATCTTCACAAACAAGCCAGTTTTCTCTCTTGTGTGTCCTATATCAGTGAGAGGCACCACCGTGCTTTGTCATGCAGGGTTAAAACTGCTCCCTCAGTGCTCTCCCCAGCAAATCAGAGGCGGATTCTCTTCACCTTCCTCCTACTGTGACTGCTCTAGTTTGGGCCTCATCTCTCATCTGATGATTGACTGCAGTTGGTCTCCTACTTGGTACCTCACCTCTCCAGTTAAGTCTTCTCAGGCATGTTCTCTACTCCCTCCCCAGGGTCACCTTCCCAAAGCATAGGACCATTTTAATTCTCTCACCGTTCTGCTCTTAACTCCTCAGTTATAGATTTACTATGTTGTTGTTGTTATGTGCCGTCGAGTCAGCCCTGACTCATAGCGACCCCTCCTTGGGTTTCCGAGGCAGTATCACTACGGAAGTAGGATTGCCCAACCTTCCTTCCGAGGAGTGGCTGGTGGGTTTGAACCGCCAGCCTTCTGGTTAGCAGTCAAGTGCCTTAGCCACTATGCTACCAGAGCTAGAAGTGAAAAATTGCAGCCCAGCATCCAAAGTCCTTTATGGTCATTCCGTACCCTGGCTCCTTCAGCTTCTATGAACCCATCATTTTAGCCAAACCCACTGCTCCTTTCAAGGAGTGTGCCCACTTTCTGCATTTAGGCTTTTGTTGCTTGGACCATTCCTTCACTATGGGATGCATTTTTTTCCTAGACCCCTTGGCATGGCCAAATCTCACCTGACAAGGCCCAGCACAGATACTACCTCTTTCAGGAAACCTTTGCTGAAGTTTCAGTTGCAGGTCCACTCTATCCCATAATGCTTTGGCCAAGACTGCGCACTTACTAGATCACCTGGAAGTTCTTCATCTCTCTTGCCATACCCACTCAACACATACTCACTGAGCACTTGCTACAGGCTGGCTCCTGTGCCAGATCCCATGGTACCAACAGGAGAAAGACCCAATCCTGGTGCTCAAATTGTTCAGACCAGTGCTCCTGTTCCCTGTCTATCCACTGGTTCATATGTGCATGTTAAGTACCTTCAATGTACCAGGCCTGGGCTAAGGAGGGGCTAGAGATTCAGACATGAATGCCAGGGTCCACCTGAAGGGGCTTATAGTCTTCTGGGGTGGGGGTGGGGGAGCAGACATGTTTAAAGCAAGTGTGCGAAAATGTTCCAGGGCCCCAGCGAAGTCTCTAGGCCTGGAAGAGTAAGTTGTCCTTTATTATTATTATTATTATTATTGGGGGCTTGTGGACAAGGACTGAAAAAACTCCACAGAAGAGATGCTTGAATTCTGAAAGATGAATCATGGTTTACCAGTATGCTAGGGAGGAAGGGCATTCTAGTAGATAGGCTTGAAACCTGTCAGCATCCTGGGACCTGCCGATAGTTTGTCAAACCAGACCAGGGTCTCTCAACCTCCATACTACATCCTGTCACTTTGGGCTGAGCAATTCTTTGTGAGGGGGTTTCCTGTGATTTGTAGGATGTTTAGCAGCATCCTTACTCTGCCCTCTAGATGCCAACACCACACATACACCCTCCCAGGTTGTGATTACCAAGTCTCCAGACATTGCCAAATATCCCTTTGGGGGCAAAACTAGCCCTGGTTGACAATCACTGGATTAGAAAATGGGGTCAGAATGGGAGGCCTAGGTAAGGAAAACTTTTCCTTCCAGATTGGCTGGTAGAAGCAAGAAAGGCCTCGTAAACCAGGTTGCTGGAGTTTATCTTAGATACAAGGAGTGGGCAGGATGCAGACTAGAGTGAAAGCAATGAAGCATTTAAAGCAGGGGACAAGCCTCCCTGAGGTCAGGATGATGTTTTACAGTGAGTTCCCAGCAAAGTATGGTTCCCTGAGTAGGGAATTCACTGAGCATGCACTAAACAGATGGGTGGATGAACGCTAGCTTGCTCCCCCATCCCCCCACCTCCCATCCCCTTGTAGGCCATCTGAGACTATCCCTGTTTGGATATCTGGGGAGCAAAACATACCTGTACCTAAGAAGGCTCCCTAGAACTGTATCCCTCTGTCCCCTTCCTTCTCTCTCTGACACACATACACCACGAGTAGACAATCCAGTGACGCCAGGTTTCAGCATAGCTGCGTTTTTGTGAAAAGGGAATGACTTGGAATCAAACAGACCTAGCTTGAAGCCAAGGAGCTCTGGTAGCACTGTGGTTAAAGCATTGGACTGCTAACCAAATGGACAGTGGTTTGAACCCACTGGCCACTCTGTGGGAGAAAGATGAAGGCCATCTGCTTCCATTAAGATTTACAGCCTTGGAAGGCCTGTGGGGCTTTCTACTCTGCCCTATGGAGTAGCTGAGTTGGAATCAACTCAAGAGCAGTGGGTAGTGGTTTGAAGCCCAACTCTGCCACCTACTGGCTGAATTAATTCCTTAGTCTCTGTGGTAGTTCAGTTTGTGTGTCAACTTGGCTGGGCCTGGTTGAGTGGTTGGGCAGCTGGATGTAGTATTCCCCAGGATGATACTGGTAATCAACTCCATGGTGGAATCTACTGTGAGTAGCTATGTAGCTGCATTAGGGATATGGTCTGCTTCCTTTATACAAGCAGAAGCCTTGGGAAACAGTCTCTAGTTTATGGCACACTTGGACTCTGCATGTAGCCATGTTGCTGTTCAGCAGCCTGCCATGCTCTGCCGAACTTGGGACTTACAATGGATTTGAATTAATGGCCTGCAGTGTGGTTTGGTAACATCAGGACTGTGCCATTTTATCTGTTGACCTTGGGCTTCTTAGCCTCAGCAGTCAGAAGCTGCCTGAGTGAAGAAAGCCTCTAGCTTCAGTGGTTTTGGAGCAAGAAGCAGAGCTGAAGCCCAAGGTTGAGGGGCTTTTGCACAGCCCCTAGAGCCTGGCACTTTGAACTCGGACTTCTAGCCTCCAAACTGTAAGAGAATAAACTCCTGTTTGTTCAAGCCCTCCCATTTGTGGTATATTCCTGTCAGAGTGGCACTGGGTAACCAGAATAGGCCCATACACAAAAGAGAGGGGTACCAATGTGCATGCCCAATGCATTAATTAGGACGTCCTTTTGAAAACATTGCAGTTTAACATGGTGAAATTGAACTCTTTGAAACAGATAAAAGGGACCAGACAAATATGTTAAAAACACAGGATGCGTTAGTACGTGAAAATCATGTCCTTGGTATAGCCCAGTTTCTCCAGGTTAGGGAGAGCTGCTGTCTGGATCAAGGGTGGTGGGCCACACACCAGGATAAGTGTGGACTCCTCAGGAGGAGGGAGGTGCTCCTTGATCATGTCGGCAGTAATGAAGCCTGAGTCGTACGTCCAGCCTGAAATTAAGCAGAAGCAAAAGAGAGCTGTAGGGGCAACAGGTCAGGTACCTCATGCCCAGGCCCCTGTCCTCCCTCCCTAAAACCAAGCAGAGGGAGGCAAGGCTGCTCTACAAAGGCTTGGAAGTCTGCACTACTTACTGTTCCCTGCAGAAAACCTGCAAGTAGAGGATTTGAGTCATAGGCAGTCCTCTACAGTACTTACCCCAGTTCCCAGGCTCACTGCTGGGACTCTGGGGTCCCTGGAAGCATTGACGAGGATAGAGAACAAGACAGAGAGGTGGGATGTACCAAAGTGTGGTGTGGGATTTGTAGAAACACCCAGTCAGGTGGCACCCTCTGCTGAGTAGCAAGCTGTATGACAAGACTGGTTCAGCTTGATACTGAGTGGGAAAAGTGCATCTGAAGGGTGTGGTGGCCATGTGGTATACAGTGGGCATGATGGTTGCTGGGTGCTTGCTGGGGTTTTAGTGGCTGCCTGGGAATCAGTATGTGAGGACTGCTGTCTAGATGAAGTGGGTGGTGAAGGATATGGTGGCTGTGAGCAGTACTGTGAGGGGGGAGAGAGGACAGTGGCCATTCTGGGTACTGGGTACAGTGTGTGTGATGGTTGTGTGGACTACCATGTAGTGTGCAGTAGGGAAGGGCCGTGCATTGTGGCCCAGTAGGGCATTAGCCCTGTGTGTGCACTTTAGTGCAGTGTGGAATGCTGCTGAGGTAACAGACACCTGATTTTGACTGCCTTCAGAAGCAGATCATCCTAAATCCTCTCTCCCTCAAATTCCTACATTTCCCATGTGAAAATAGAGCCCAAGGCTTCAGACTGCAAACCAAACCTGTTGCCACTGAGTCAATTCCGACTCATAGTCAGGCTCCAAACCCACTTCTAAAAATAAAAAAGAAAGAAAACAGGTCAGGCCACTGAGATGGGTCAAGGGTTGGAGCTGACCCATGGTAGGGACAAAGGGGACCATACCAGTGGGAGGCCTGTCCAGAGTATACCACAGCTTGAACTTGTCTGAATGAGTTCTGGAAGTTTCTTCAAGCTCCATTCTTACCAAGATATCCTCCTCCGTCTAGAAAAGCAGCAAAATTAGGTAAGTCCTCCAGGGATATCCTGCTTGCTCCCCATATTGAGCAAATCCATCAGTGCTCTCCTGCCCAAGCTTCCTTGGCCTGAGTGCCTGCCAAAGACTTCCACAGGCAAATGAGAGTTCTGTTCCTGCTCCTCTGAACAGCCCTGTCTCTTGTGGATGTAGAAACTGGAAGAGTGTAGGTTCCTGCAGAGCAGGAGAGACCAGCCTCCAGCTGGAGGGACCATGGCCCAGCACAGGCCAGGAAGGCTTCATTCAGAGGTCCTAGCTCTACCTCCCACACCTGCACCAAGCACAAAGCATGCCAAACCCAAATGAACAAACTTAGTGTGGGTGCAGGATCTTCTTCAGTGAACATAATGGATAAGAAGCAATATGGTAGAAGAGTACTGAAGACAGAGGAAGAGAAAAACAAAGTCCCAAACCTCATTTGGAGAAAAAGGAACCAAACCAGAAGATGCTTGTCATGGGCTCAGAGATACTGCAGAGAAGATCTGGATCTATTAAAATGCCTCCTGATTCTTGTCCCAATAATTCTACTTTTAGGCTTCTGTTAGTAAGCTAAAAGTAATCAAGCCTAAGGACACAAGTACTCATCACAGAGTCATTTATAATCATGAAAGCGGAAAACCACCTGAATGTAGGAAAATATTTGGTAAATGATAGTACAACTTGATATATATTAAAATATGTGTAGAGTTTTAATGATAAAAATGCCTGTGTGAATGAAAAAATATATATGTAATTATAAACATACAGCATATATAAGAAAAAAGACTGGAAAATATGTAAGAATAATTTATCAGGGATAGAATTATGGGAGATTATTTTCTTCTTTATGTTCCACATTTCAAAATTTCTACTCAGGGATCTGATTTTATAGTCAGAAAAAAATTAAATGTGTTTTAAGGAAGGAGAGAAGAAACAGTAATCGAAGTTGAGGTAACAGAAGAGTTAAAAAATGTTTAAAAAGAAAAAACCAAAAGCAGGCCTTTTGGACTCAGCTTCTCAGGCTGCCAGCTGCCCTTGTAGCACCCACTAAGGATTCCCTCGGCTGCAGGTCCTGGTCAGCAGACCTCACTCAATGAGAGGAATGAATGCAGAGTCCCTGCTCAGCAAATATTCCACCCTCCCACTGCCCGCTCAGGGCCAACTCAGCAGAACTGACCTGGTTGGCAAAGATGAGGGACATCCTGGTCTCGTCCTTGGGGTTCCTGGTGATATGGCGTATGAGCTGCAGCATGGGTGTAATCCCTAGAACACAGCGGGCAGGCCAGCTTTTCCCCCTCTGGTGCCCACAGTCCCTCCCAGAAACAACTGACATTTTCTTGGGCCCAGCTACACTTTTCCAACTCTAGCTCCCAGAATTCAAAGTGGAAAACAGCCCTGCATTTTGTTTTCCCCTTCTAATGCACCAATAGATCCAAAGCCCTTCTCATCTTAATATGGCAAGAGGGAAAGCAGGATGGCTAGGAAATCAGAGCTGGGTTTCACTCCCAGCTCACTAACTGTTGAATCATTTCCCTGTCTGCTATTTTCTCACTTGTAAAATAAAATTAGTGAGGAATAAATGTATAGTTTTGAAAGTACCTACAGTACCTGGCATATCATCAGTGCTCCTTAAACATGTGTTCTCTTTCAGGTGTTCAGTTCAAGGGATGGGGAGAGTCAGGTTTGAACTAAATCCAGGAGCCCTTGGGGGACCGTGGATGATCCTGCCCCATCTGGCCCCACAAACTCCTCTATGTTCCTCAACCTGACTTGAGAGGCTCACAGCTTCCTAGCAGCTTCCATGTTGGTTGAGTGGAGCAGGGCACACAGGGTCAGCTGCATGGCCTGTCACTGACCCTGAGTTCCCACCCACAACAGCTAGGGCAGCAATTGCTATGGCCACATGACTCCAAAGTCAGAAAGGTCTCAGGGCCCACCCAGTGGATGAAGCTCCCAGATGGCTCTTACCAGTGCCCCCAGCGATCATTCCCAGGTGATGGACCAGTTTTTTTTCAGGCTCGCTTGTTTTGTCTGGTCTGACTAAAAGATTCCCTGGAAACACAGAGGATGCTTCTGACTTCTGCGGCCCTTGCCTGACAGTCTGCAAAAGATCACTGCCTTTCCTGGGAGGTCCCTGAATCAAGTCCACCAAAGAATTGACTGTACTATTTTAAGCCAAAGAAGCAGTCCAGAGTTGCCGCTTCAGCCAGCCCCAATGCACTGGTTCCAAAGTGGGGACAGAGGTGGGTCTCCTCAGGGCATCTTCTTACAAGGGAAGAGAAAGGCAAGCTGAAGTTAATATGAGCCTCACAGAGCACTCTCAAACACCTGCAGCAGAGTGAGTGAGTGTATGAATATGAGAATGGAATCCATCCATCCATTTTTCAGTACTATTAGGTGCCTCTTATATATTAGGTTTATACTAGACATACAGTGATAAGGAAGCTTACAGTCTCAAGAAGTGAATGCGTGAATGAATGATAGGTGTAGCTGTATATGTGTGTGAATCAGTGAATATATGAATGAAGACTTTAAGGACAAGTCTATATGACTCAAATCTCAAGTTTTCTAGATCAATGGAACCACCTGGGAACTTCTCCCATACAGAAGGAGGCCCAGTGTGAGCCCTCCAGTACCTAGACCATGGTAGAACAGGCGTCCAGTTGGCCCTCGAAAAAGGATGGTGTCCCCTATTTTCATGTTTTCCAAGTATTGAGTCATCTTCCCCCCTTCAGGATGGTTGGGGTGTACATTTTTGAAGTAGATCTGAAAGACAAGGCCACATGGTTTTTATACCCCCAGACCTGAGGTCACAGCTGCAATCAACTTGAAAATTTATTTGCCACTGGAAATTATGTCTAGAAAGTCCTCTGCTATCACAGTTGCTGCAAGCAATCCCTGAAGACACTATGAGACAAACTGTACCTCCACTGTTAAATGACACTGCTGGAAAACCCAGCCATGGACACATGTTGGACATTCCTCAGAGAAGAGGCACTGCCCCTTCTACTCCGCCACCCCTGGCCCTCAACAGGCTCTGTGAACTTGCAGCTGGGACACTGGTGATCATCATTTACCTTTATAATTAAGTCCACAAAGCCTTGATCATCATCACTGGAGACAGGGGTGTAAGCCCTGATCACCAAGTCATCATCAATTTTGGCCAAGAGGTGGACATAGTTACCTACAGAAAAGGCATCAAATGTAAGTCTGTGCACGGCCTGCCTAAAGACGACCCAGAAACCCCGTAAGTACTGAATGTCAGTGAGGTGGGCACACAGGACAGTAGGGTGGATGGTGGAGGGAGGAGATCAAGCATGGCAGGAGCCCAAATTCAGGATCTGTGTTCTCAGCCCAGCCTTGTCACTCAGTGTAGTACCCTGGACAAGTCACTTCACCACTCTGGGTCTTAGTCTCTTCATATGTAAAGTACAGATGATAAACCCACTATGCATGTTATATAGTTGTGAGCTTCTGATACAGGGAACCTACTGTCAATGTGTGCTCACTGTGTCAAAGTACTCTGTGGAGCAGGAAGAGAACTGAAGTTTGGAAGGGAAGTATTAAAAACTACAGGAAAAAAATGTTTTCTTATTAAAGCAAAATCTGTTGCCTTACCAAATTCATTTCTTAAACTGGATGTATCACTGGGATTTGTGAATAAATCACAGATACCTCATCTGTATCCTAGTGCTTGGCACACACTAGGCCTGGGCTCATGAATACTTCAGGGCCACCAGATCTGGACATACATGGACCAGAAGTTTGAGCAATAGCAGTGGGTCTTCCTGGCCTGTGGTGCTGTTGAGGGGCAGCAGTGAAGTTTTGGATCATGTAATTCTGCCCCTCCAGGACAGAAGTGACTGGTCCAGGTATGTAGCCACAGACCTATGATCACAACTATATTCTAGCATCATGATGGGCTGGGCTTTCCAGATTTCTGTTGGATCTAAACTGGAAGACCTAAGGGACTAAGGTAAGTAATAGAAGGAAAGAGGCTGCAGTTAAAAGATGCTAAGAGCTAAAGAGAAAGCTCCTTGCTAGAGTTTCCAAGGGAATAGAAAGTGTAGGCAACAGAAACTGACAAAGGAGGATGGAGCAGATATGCAGAAAGAAGAGAGCTAATAGGAAGAGACAGAAAGAGAGGAGAACAGGAAGGGGGGGAGAGAAAGTGGGGAGGTGAGATATAGAAGTACAGGTCCTTCAATTTGTGTTAGGATCATAATCCAAAGTCTTTGAGGAGGGCTTGAGGCCTGAGACACAAATACTCTGGTTTAAGAAAGGCTCAGTGACTCTGATCATGGCCTGGCTGACCACCAGGGATACCCAGGAATAAATGCTTAAGGCACTTTCCCTCCGAATGTGAAACTGGAAACCTGGAAAGGCTCTTTTGGATGCAGCCAATCTAGGCCTGGCCTGGATGTGTCCCTAGAGAATAAGGACTGCCCTGGCTTGATCCTTCGGGCCCCATCTCTGAGCCCTCATAGCAGACTCCCAGAAGCCTCTAACTTACTTTGTCCTGCTAATTTTGTACTAGCTACACCAGGACTTAGGAGAGAATGATCCAAGATATGGTTTTAAGAAATTCTATTGCTCAAGAGTTTGTCACTCTTTTAGGCTTTTGGCCAAAGGACTGGCTCCACAGGCCAGGCAAAGGGCTGGAAAGCAGCCTGACACAGAACTCTCATGGATGCAGAGGCAGAAAGGAAGCAGCAAGGAGGCTCAGGGATCCAGCTGGCTGCCTGGTGTGTAATTTCATCACCTGATATAGGTGAAGTCAAGGTTATATCCTGTGTACACAGGGCAAGTAGGCCATGTGATGATCTCTACCAGGCAGGCAAGCCATACTAGCAGCTTGTACAGAACTTCTCTGGAACTCCAGGTTCTGGGTCTAGCAGAGGTTTTCCACCTCACTAACTTCAGTGAGAAATGGGATAACTCTGAACTCTATGATACTAGGGTTTGTTTTCACTAGAAACCACATGGTGAATGGGAGAAGAGGCACCTGACTTTTAGCCTCCAGAACTTGTAAGAAAATAAATTTCTGTTCTTTAAAGCCAAACATCTGTGGTATTTGTGTTACAGCAGCCCTATGAAACTACTGTGAATCTACTATGTGCATAGCACTTTTCAGTTTCTAAGTTTTCACATTAATCAATCGCTTTCTCTTCACAACAACCCAACAGGCTGGGAAACTGCCATTTCATAGACTGAGGCTCAGGTTCAGGGACTTGCCTAACATCTCCAGCAAGAAGCCTTAGTTGATATCTTTGACTTTCTATCTCAAGGCTCACCTGACTCTATGCTGAGATACTACTTTTGTGTGGGTCCAAACTGAACAATGAGAAAAGTACCTCCAAGCCCACCTTCCCACCCCAAGCTCATATGGCTCTGGAAGAGTGTTGCGGCAACTTTCTACACCTCAGCTGTGTTTCTGCTAGGAGCAGAGGGCCCAGCCCTGCAAAGGCCCCAGTCCTGAAGGTGACACCAAACCCCGCTCACCTACAGGGAGCCCTAAGACATGGTCCATCGAGGGCAGTCCAAAGCGAAACCTCCGGGTGTTGTGGCTTATTTGCTAATAAAACAGAAAACACAGAGGCAGGCTCTGTCAGCTCTCTAGAAAGCCTGTGAGTAGCTCATGCCAGGAAAGGAGCTTCATTTGGTACAACCCAGCACACACACACAGGATAGAGGGGAGCAAACCTAAGGTCATGAAATGTTTGTCTAACTGCCCAGCCTTTCCGGCGGGCACATTCCCCAAGATCCTTGCTCCCTACTGACAGGAGGGACAGGGTGGGCCAATCCATTACCTCTTTCTCAATCAAGGGCAGAGGGTACTTGGTTTCAGGGTCCTGTAAGGTAATAAGCTTTCTTCTTCTTGAACTGTTGTTCTTCAAGGCCAACATGAGCACCGTCAGCCCAATGACAGCAATGGCGAGAAGCAGGGATGGGTCCTGACCAGACACAATGTAAGCACGGCAGCTCAGGTCGTGCCCACTCTTCAACAGGGCAGCGCTCAGGTGTAGTGACCCCTCCCACATCTAAGTCCTGATGATGAAGAAGCTAACATATGCCTGAAGGGAACTAGGCAGAAGGAAAGGTACTGAAAGAGAAAGCAGCAGATGAGCCTGTGGTGAACCAGAGGCAGGAAGGTCAGGCATCCGGGACCTGGCCAGGCAGATGGTGACGACGATCACCAGAGCCCTTCAGCCTATCTGCCTTCATCTGGGCTACACAGAAAAGAATCCCTTTCTTGAAGTGGAAAGGGTGAGGACCAGTTTTTGCTCCCAAGTCATTGCTTCTAAATACACGATTTAGAATGAAGACCTCAAACCCCAAGGGTAGAATTGGGGCTGAAGGCTGTGAGATGGGCACTTCCGCCTCAGCTGTGGCTGAAAGCAGGCCTGGGGATAGGGTTCATCTCCCCCCCTACACACACACTCAGGCCTGGCTAGGACAGGGGTGAGGGTGAGTAGTGCTCTGTGACCTCAGCGCCTCCCAACACTCTTCAGAACCAGCGAAGGAGGCCTAGGCACTCACCTGCCAGTGCCTTGACCACCTTCCATGCATTCGTGCCCCAAATCCCAGCTACCCAGCTCTCTTGGTTCATTTCCAACCCAGCCAGATCCAGGGCAGATTCAAGAGATGCCCACCTCACCCTCTGCACGCTGGTATGTGTGTGTATGACCCTCTGTGCACGCTGGTATGTGTGTGTATGTGTGTAAGTCTGCATGTAAGAGAGTGTCTGATTCCCCACCCTCTCTGCACGCGCGCGTGTGTGTGTGTGTGTGTGTGCATATAAGAGTGTGTCTGATTCCCTGCCCTCTCTGCACGCGGGTGTGTGTATAAGTGTGTGCATGTAAGCGTCTGCACGTGGGGGGGGTGTGTGTGTAAGTGTGTGCACGTAAGCGTGTGTATGATTCCTTGTCCACCTCACCATACCTTCTGCAAATTCTGGTACCCGCCTAGCCTGGCGTGCCGACCAGCTCCCGCTACTCCCTCCCCGCCCCTCGGGGGTCCCAGACCACTTGCCCCAGGCCCGCATTCCGTTTGTCGACTGCCCGTCGGTCTTTCCTTAGCTCTTCCATCTGGCTATCACCGCCCCCCCCACACACACCTTGTTCTCTCCCCCTGGCCTTCCTGACCCGGCGCTGCTCCCGCCGAACCTACCCGGAACGAGACGCCGAACATGCCGTCGAGTCGAGTCCGGCTGAGGAGGCTGGTGCGCTTCTCCCACGTTGGTCCGCCGACTCGTGGGCGCCGCCCTGCAGCTCCGCCTGGCGGTCAGGAGAGCTTCGCACACCCAGGCCCTGGACGCAAGAAGCCGGCAAGGGGCGGGACCCCAGCGGCAGCCGGACCAGCGGGGCGGCTCCAACTCTGGGGCTGACGCACCTCTCCGAGTGGAGCTTGGTCGGAAGGTTCTTTCTCTGGTGAGTGTGACCCTCCTCCACCTCTGCCTCAGGACCGCTCTGAGTTCAGGGGCTTCCACTGCTTCAAGGAAGCCCGGCGGAGAGCTGGGAGGCTTCTGAGTTCCTGGTGAAACATCCCTTATTTATCAAATGGCACCCTCCCCACCCTGGTTCTCTCCCTTCATACTCAGAGCAGCCACGACTGCGTATCCGTCTCCTCAGCTTGTTTAAATTGTGGCACAATTGGAGAAAGGGGTATCTGAGTGACTAGGAGGAGCCCAGTGCCGGTAAAGGAAATGGGAATTCAGCTCTGTTCGGAGAGTACAGGTAATGAACTCCGACTCTGAGCCTGAGTGGAAACTGGGGGTGTGATAGAGTTAAAGAAGACATTCACTCAAACGGCTCATTCATTCTTTCGTTCACTCACGATTGGTAGAGAAATAACAAGTACCGACACTGACCCGATGGGAGGCGGTTATGGGGGTTCTTCACGGTGCATTTCAGAACCTTGGTACCCCTCTCCCCTCCCCCCATCAGTTCTCGGATTGCCAGCCTCTTCCTTGGCCTGAGACAGAAGCCAAGAAACAGATTCCCACCCCCACCGCCCACCCACACTACCTCGCTTGCGCATGCGTGTGCACACCTTCCCACACCTGCAGGGTGCCAGAATATTATAATGTCAACTATCTTAATTTTAGATCTGGTGGCGTAATGCCTAAGGCATTTGACAGCTAACCAGAAAGCTGGCGGTTCAAACCCACCAGCCGCTCCTCTGAAGGAAGATGGGGCAGTCTACTTCCATAGAGATACCGCCTCAGAAACCCAAGGAGGGGTCGCTATGAGTCAAATTCAACTGGAGGGTAATGAGTTTGGTTTTGGTTTAATAAGTATAAAATTATGTCCTTTGTAACTTAATTTGCTTTGCTTGATTGCTAATGAGAATGAGCATCTTTCATATGTTCTATTCCAGCTGAATATTTTTTTTTTAATCCAGAAAAAAAAAAAAAGCCTATTCATGATTGACTATTTTTCTATTGAGTTGGATTTTTCATACTTATTTTTAGGGGTCATTTATATATATTTTAGATATCATGTTTTTGTTTTCTCTCAGTTTGTAAGTTTTCCTTCCTTTCTTTGTTGGTTATGTCTTTAGATTAATAGAAATTTGTAATTATAATGTGGCCAAATTTATCAATCTTTTTTCTTTATGGCCAGTGCTTTTTGTTTCTTGCCTATTCTTCCTTATCCAAGGTCATAAAGCTATTGTGTATTTTCTTTGACAAGATTTAAAGTTTTTTTTTCTTTCACATTTAATTCTCTCAACCATCTGGAATTGATTTCTCTGTGTGATGTGAGGCAGGGATCCAACTAAATTATTTTCATATGGATAGTATGTTTCAGTAACATTTACTGAATTGCTCATACCTAGCTACTAGCCTGCAATGCCACCTCAGTTGCATCTATATCAGTTATCAGTTTTCATGTATGTGTGAGTCTGGTTCTGTCCTCCCTGTTTCCTTCCATTGATCTAGTTGCCCAGCCTCAGGCATTTTGACTGCTGATCAGAAGACTGGAGGTTCAAACCCACCAGCCACTCTGCAGAAGGAAGACTGAGCAATTTACTTCTGTAAAGATTTACCACCTCGGAAATCGAGTGAGGGTCGCTATGAATCGGAATCAACTCAATGGCAGTGGGTTTGGTTTGGCTTTGGGTTTGGGTTTGGATTTGACTCATAGCCACCCCTCCTTGCGTTTCTGTGGTCGTATCTCTACGGAAGTAGATTGCCCAGTCTTTCTTCAGAGGAGTGGCTGGTAGGTTTGAAACTCCAGCCTTCTGGTTAGCAGTCAAATGCCTTAGGCACTATGCCACCAGAGCTCCTAATTATAATAGTTAAATAACAAGTGTTTATATTTCACTCATACGTTCTTCAGGTCTCAGCTCAAATATCACTTGCTTAGAGATACCTTCTCCATTCCCCCAATGTTAATTACATGTACACATTACATTCTATTCGTACCTTTTACTTCAGTGTGTGTTATACATCTTGACTTTTTGATTATGAAATGAATGATTCTCAGACTAAGTTGGAAGTTTCATTATGGCAGAGATCCTGTTTCCTATGGCTTATCACTGTGACTATCACATAGACAACATTCTATAAATATTTCATGATTGAATGAATGAATAAATGGATGAGTTCATCTCTGCCCTGCAGCATTTAGCACACTGCCTGGTACATGTTAAATACTTATTGACCCATGGCCTTTTGTCTGTCACCTTGCCTTGCTTAATTTATCTCCATAAAACACATCACCAAATGACCTACTACATATTTTACCTATTTGTTTACCGTCTCTCTGTCTACTTGAATGCAAGTTCTATGTGTGCAGAAATTGTTTCATCTGTTTTCACTCCTGCTGTATCAGCAGTCAGTGGTGGATTCTCAAATATTTATTGCAAGAATGAATGAACCAACAAACTTCGTTTTCTCCATTTGAACTTTTGTTTTTGGTTCTGGAATCCAGAGGCATCTCACTTTCTCCTGCATCTTTCTTAGTAATTTTTCTCTAACCTCATTTTCCCTTCTTATTTCCCCTACCTCGTCCTTCAATGTTACCAGAGAAGCAGGTGGCATATCTTTATTGATCTTTGGAGTGAAACAAAAGCCAGCTATTTACCAAGTCTCCCAATAATTTTGAGAGAGCAATGATTCCTCTCTTTTCTCAGCACTCCTACACATTTTATGTGTGCCCCTCACATGCTCATATGCTGCCTGGATTTGGGTTCATCTTCTACAATTCTTTTCTATCTCCTGAAATAAACTGAACACATGGCTCCCATCTCTAAATTCGCAGCTTGGTAACAGGGCCTGGCAAAGAACAGGCTCTCAGCAAGTGTTTGCTGAAAAGAAGAGTGAATGTCTGTTGTTGTCACTGTTTGAGCATATATGAGATTCCACCCCATCAGCCTCGGCTTTTATGCAGGACCCACGCCGCCTCCACTGCTGAGTCTTCCCTGGGGGACCTCATGGCCTGTCGAAGTCAAAGAATGTTTGCCGTCTAAACCATTTCAGGCCGTTGTGGACTTTTCATTAGGTTTTTAACCTTGAAAATTACTTATTTCCATTTTTCTCATGAACAAATGACCACCCTGCAGATCCTGTTAAACGCTGATTTTGGTAGGCTGAATAACGACCCATCCCCCAATATGTTCACATCTGTGGATGTTACTTTATATGGCAAAGCAACTTTTTTTTTTTTAATCTGTCTATGCTCTTTTTTTTTTTTTTAATTTTTATCGTGATTTGGGTGAAAGTTTACAGAGCAAATTCATTTTCCATACAGCAGCTCACATACACTTTGTCTCATGACATTGACTACAATTTCCCACAATGCAACAGCTCTCTTCCCATTTCTTCCCCATAGTTACCTCTTCCCTGTGTCCTTCCCACCCATGCACTCCTGCCCCCTGAGCTGTTTCCCTCTGCATACACAGCCCTTCTATTCTCCCATGATTGATCTCTCCAAGGAATGTATCTACCTAATGTAAGTATTCAGCTCATATGCCTGTCTTTTGTTTGGCTGGAGGCCATAGGAGTGGGTTCAATTCTATACCTGAAGTGCAGCTAGGGGCCATAGTCTCAAGGGTTCTACCAGGCTCTATCAGACCAGCAAGCCTGGTCCTTTTGTTTTTCTATGATTTTGAGTTTTGTTCTACATTGTTCTCCCACTCTATCCAAGATCTCCTACATACATCCCCTTCCAAGTGGTTGACAGTGGTAGCCAGGCATCATCTAGTTCTTCTGGTCTCATAGTCATATAGGCTGAGGACTGCATGGTGTACCAGTCCCTTGGACTAATTGTTTCCACGCATCTTTGGATTTCTTTGCTCTTCTTTGCTCTGGACAAAGAGACACCCATCGTTGCATTTAGATGGCCATTTGCAAGTTTTAAAGACCCCAGTTACTACTCATATATTGGCAAAGCAACTTTGCAGATGTGATTAAGGATGAGGAAATTATCCTGGATTATCTGGGACGGCCTGATGTAATCACAGCCCTTATAAAAGGGATATAGGAGAAGATGATGTGATGATGGATGTAGGTTGGAGGGATGCACCCTGAAGATGGAAAAAGTGGCCGGAAACCAAGGAATGCAGGTGACCACTAGAAACTTCAAATGCAAAGAAACGGGTTCTCCATCAGTGCCTCTAGAAGGAATCAGCCCTGCCTACACTTTGGTCTTAACCCACTGAAACTGGTGGCAGAATTTTGTCCTCCAGAACAGTAACAGAATAAATTTGTGTTATCTGAAGCCATTAAATTTGTGATAATTTGTTACAGCAGCAATGGGAAACTAATAACACTAAATGAGCTATTGTTTTTGTTTCTTAGGGTTTATTTGTATATACTTGGATTTACTAAAAAAAATTCTGTGACTTGGACCAGAGAAGCCAGGAGGTTTCTCTTCTGCCACTCTCATTACTTCACTGATGGGTCTCTTTTCTAATGTGAATGACCTGACCACATCTTCAGCTTGTTGTCTTTGCCAGGCCACATAAGCAGCCCACCTGCTCTGTCCCTTCCTCTTCACCCTGTGCTTCCTGAATTTTGCAAAAATGTCATCCTGAACAAAGAAGCTCAGCAGACAAATATAGTTGACTAGGATGAGCCTTATGAGACACCACTGGTGGCACATTCAACCCACTTCAAACACCCAACACAGGGATTGGTGCAGAATATTTCCCAAATTGGAGTTTCCTTGCTTGGTGTTTTGGTTCCC